GTGCCTGTAAAAATGGCATGCATTTTCATGTAAATTTATATGTTTATATGAGAATATACATTATTATTATTATTATTCAGGCACGAGGACATTTTTGACGTCCTTCCAAGAAGTAGACACAGTGTTGGTTGAAAACGAGTCAGTTTACCACAAACGAAGCAGTCATACAAGGTGTTGCAGATATGGTGAATGAATGTTTATATTAGTATACTGCTAAAGTTTATTGTCAAAAACGTATTCATGAGTTTAAATTGTTTGGCGCAATGACTAAATTTTCGGCTGTTTTACTAAAGTCGGTTACAATTAGGAACTAACCATCACTTCGACAGCTAGGAGTACTCTATTTTGCCTCAGCGAGTGACTGAACATTAAGGGGTTCGACGCAAGAGAAACTGGGCCTGTGATCATAATTCCAGCCTATGGAATACCTAATTCTGCATTCGTGACGGTGTAAAGCAGTGATCAATCAACCGGTAGATAGCCACTCGCCATCCCAGGTGAACGCCTGTGTTAACGGAAAATTATTTCCGTTTTCTTATTAAATCTATACTTCTTCTACTACATCTGATAGCATATTTAATGTTTGTTGATTTTCAGTTTTGTTCTCAGCATTTTACAATCTGGCAACCCTCACTTTTGAGTCTCTTTGTATCCTACACCACTTCTACTCCTGATTTTACTGGTTTTGTTTTCTGTTTCTTTCATTCTCCTCTTATTCGCTAATTACATAATTTCACCAGTTGAGTATACATGAGCAAATAGTTCCATGGAATCAATAACTTATAACTTCATTAACATGCAAGACTGGGCGTGGACATTCACAGCTTAAAAGAAATAACTGAACTGAAAGCACACTTTCTGGGATCGTTACCAGTTTGCACACAACTGCGTTTTATTCGGTTACTTATGGGCGGTCCGTGTTTTGTAAAGCACTCATCGGGAATTATTCACATTGATCCCTAAATTCTACATCAAACTTCGGATAATCAAAATGTTGTTCCTACGTGGATGGATTACTCTGTATGCCCCATATAAATATATGTGCGTCAGTGGTACAGCGGTTAGGACTCTCGCCGACCATTCACATGGTCCGAGGTTCGATCCCCTGCCGACGCACACCTGATATCTGTAGTCGGCCTGCAAAATTTGGACTGCCGATATCCATGCTGAAAGTTCCATACTTGTACCAAATACAGTGTGGAATCAAGCTGTAGTCGAAAATAAAAAAATAAAAGTAATATTATATGCAAACCTGACGATAGCTGGCACTTACTCTTCTCTCTACTCATTGACGGACAATCCGAACCATTAACTACCAAGGTGGCGTTGAACTGGCTATCATGTCACAGATATGTCTGCATGCAGTTTAACTAATTCCCTCCACCTCTGAGATCGTCCCTTTCCTTCGTGTTTTTCCGGATTTTGTTGAACAGATAATTTTTTATCGTCATATTGTTATAATTAGACCAATCAACCGAATGTTTCATTTGATGTCTTCCCAAAGGTGATCGAAGACAAAATTTAAACATCCCACCATTAATATGAACACTAAGAATCGGGTAAATTGAAACGGTTTGTATAGACTCAGTGTTGCGACTTCAGCTCATTTGTGCAGTTTCTTGAATCATGATCATCCCACCTATTTGATGGATGGATTATTTCTATATTTCACGAAAGGATGAATCCAGATAGGCAACTGTGTGTCCTTCTAAACGCAAAAGGTTTATTAAATGAAGGAACAGATTTGGAAACACCTAGCATACCTGTCATCCCAGATCTTTGAAAAGTTTGGATACTGATTTTGGGCGCTTTCAAGGAGCGAAACCCAACTAAACACCCCAGAGTTACTGTACTTATGGTAATGTTTCCTTTGAGACCAATCCAGTTATGCACGTTCTTGAGAGAGTAAAATAAAAAATTTTTTTAATTTTTAAATTTTTTAAATTTTTGATTTACAGCTTGATTCCACACTGTATTTTTGGTACAAGTATGGAATTTTCAGCATGGATATCGGTAGCCCAAATTTTGCAGGCCGACCATAGATATCAGGTGTGCATCGGTGCGGGCTCGAACCCTGAACCGTGTGCATGGTTGGCGAGAGTCCTAACCACTGAGATCAAGGAAGAGGGATAAACAGCGTGGAAGTGGTTTGATATTTCTGCTACACACGACTGGAATGAGTTCACTACAGTATCCAAGCACACCAGGACGACTTGTCTAAAGATGGACACAGCTGCTCATCTTAAATAGCCAAATTTTTCCCACTTCGTCATCTACTGTTCTGTAATGAGGCAAAAACAGTTTGCAAAACAACGTTTGTACCAAAACAGTTAGCTAAATTACCGACCGACATCCTGCATTATTGTAAAAAATTTATTCCGGCTTTAATCCTCTATTTTTAAAATAACGGTAGTTGGCGGCTAAAATAGGAGACCCAGTCAAACATATGGAAGGGCTATCACCATTTAGTAAATTGGGAAAACTCCATGAATTACGAAGGTGTTATGGTTTCTAGATAGTTACTCGTTTCATCCTTTTGAATATCTTAAACACTGGCTAGATCTGAATGTCCATAGCATACCATTTTAGAGGTTGACGGTTTAGACGTTCGCGAACAGTACTGAGTACGTTAACACAAGATCTTATACCAACAACTTCTCTCTTATTTGTTTCTCGTATACCAAAGGCAAAGCAAAAGACCACAACTGATTGTCCAAATTACGAGGTATATTTCGGAACCAAATCGCGGATTGAAGCGGAAGCTAAGCTGGCTAGATATCGTGGACGAAAGTGACACGACGCAGTACCAAATAATAATAATAATAGTATATTCTCATTTTGTACATGAGAGACGCCAGTTTACAGGCATCATCAATATGATAAATTACATATACGATTAGCAATCATAATTAATAATAATGTTTTAATAAAATACACATTATTTCCTACTTGTGTAGGACACACCAAATATACAGAAATGGGTAAGCATTATATAAGTTTCATAAATTTGGTTTGTGGTTAAGTTACATGGTTGCTGGCGTTTTTGTCTTAGGTCTGTGGGAACAATATGATAACCAGTCATTCAATGGAGCACATCATGAAATATAGGAATATTAACTTCGCATTAACAAAAAAACCCAGGTAAGTTTTGGATGGATTAAAAATACTTGGGAAAAAATAAATCTTGAAGTTATTCCACAATGTAACTCAAATGTGTACAAGTCCGAATCTCATTTTTGATTTATATCCAAATTGGGTAATAAGAAAGCTATTTTTACAGATACCATCAGTTATGTTATAAGTTACAATCGTGACGTTTTATTACAAATTGATACTTTTCCATTGGTATGAGAGTATATTCCACAAATGTAATCCAGGTTGCGTCGTGGGGAAAGTTAATTCGTTATTAACTAGGCAACTGAAAGATACGGGACCAATAATGTTTGCAGATCATTTTTTATTGTAATTGGTCAAATATCCACATACTTCATTCTCATTCAAAAAGTCAAATGGAAGCTGAAATGGTGAGAGAAAAAAGAAGACAAACAACAGCAACGCAAAAGAAAGCAACGGGAGTCCTTAAGGAGTGATTAATAAATTTATACATATGTATTCTGTTTAGTAACTGTGGTTATTTTGGTACACAAACTAACTAGTCCCGTTATGCTAACTTTTATATTATGTGTGAACTAATATTACTGTCCTGTGTAGAAATGTTAATCATCTAGTTCCAATAATATTAAAATTTATAATTGTAGTTTGTTGTAACTACACGTTTAAAGAACTTAAAATATCTATGTAGGGTGAGAAAGAGGGTGTAAGAGTCAGATGTAGAAGTGCATTGTCATCTTTGAGTAGTCTGGTGACTGAGGAGATGAACACTGGAAGTGTGTTTGCATCGCGCACATTAGCTGGTAGTCTATTCCAAATGACTGAAAACTTATTTAAGAAGAAGTTGTACCGCACGTAAGTCTGACAGTGCTCCATAGCAGCTAGGTTGTGATGATTTCTAAGATTGTAACTGATGACAGCGGTAGGTTTAGTTATTGGCTCGGAGGAATGCAAGAGAAGATTAGTTAGCTGATAGTAAAAGATAAGGTTTAGCTTAAGGCGTCTTTTCCAGAGGGGTTCTAATCTTAGTCTGTCGCATCGCTCATGGTATTCCAGACCACTTTCTAAACCAAGAGTTATTGAGGTAAACTGCCGTTGCACTCCCTCTAATTTAAGCTTGTCATGGCAGGGATGCTTGACGGGAAGCCTTCAGCTAAACAAGTCGACTTAAACTCTGAGGGTCAGCATCCAATGTTCACTGATGGTTTTTTATGGTCACGATGTAATTCTTCTCTTAGACATAATCTATTCCTGTGGTCAATAATTTTGGGGAGTTATTTATCGCTACACTGTGTTGTGCAGGCCCCACAGACCCACTTTCTAGAGAAAGTTCAAGAAAAGGGAAAGGGTGCGTCCAATTTATCATATGAGGAAGGACTTAAGAGGAGATCCCTTCACTTTGTCATCAGGCAGATCTCCGAGATGTTTTAAGAAATCTCATAAATAACTATGCATCCCATACATCTTGCGTTTTTCCTCTCCCACAAATTCTAAAGTCTCGGAAGATGTGGCAAGAATCCATAGGCAATACAGCAGTCATATCACTGTTAAGTATTGGTTCTTCACCCAATTATTAATTTTTAGAACCGATTCCAGCTAACCGGTTTGAGAAGAGGTTAGCTGAGCATAAAGCCTCTCTATCAATTTCAAACCTTGAATGCTGACTGGATATGTATATTTCAAATATCACACAGTGATGCATGATGTTTAGCAAGCATGTGCTCCTTCTTTGCTGAACCAAACAGTCTGAATTTAAAATTTGTCTCACATCTATACGAATGTTCGCCAAAAATAGACAGGAAAAGTTCAACTTCAAATTTCTGTACTCTAATACGATGTCGTGCTTAGCTTGAAACCTGAATATTGAAGGTCACTTGTTTTGTTACTACCCTCCACGGTCAGGGAACGGCGGTGTAACCGGCTGTTTGAAATAAGTTTGACAATGGAAGGTTGGACGTTATTTGGTACTAATTTTTTCTTTCAGGAGCTAGAAATGCACGGAAACCTAGCAATATGAAGGAGTCTAGGCTGTCTCTGCTTACCAGAATACGTGAAGCTAGGGCACAAGGGCAGCGCTTACGTATTGTAAGTGAAAGTACCCCACAATTATTTTCTTCAGGAAAGGAAGGAAGAGCCAGTTTATGATACTGTTGACGAGGCAGAATATGCAGAATTAGTGCGTCAACGCCTAGAGGATGACTGGATTATTGAGAACGGTTAGTCTGAAAATGTAGCTTTGCCATTATATGAAAATTTATAAATTAGAATGGAATATATATTTACGCATGTAGGTCAAATATATACATTCTTAAATGTTTAAATCTTGTTTTCATATTGTTTTTAATATTACTGTATGAGGCCTCTAAATGGCCTTGCAGTTGAGTGAATTAAATGTGAAATATTGTTTACTTCCATATTCTAGTATTTATATCAGTTGTTTTCTAAATGGCTTTCATGTAATTGTCAGTTGGATCAATTATATTTAATAGTAGTCGTAACAAAACATGTTACTCTAACCCAAGGCTTACTCTGACCCTGCTGAAAGTTCACGAGGAAACTTTCAAACAGATGTGACTTCTCGCATTAAGAGATTCAGATGATAGATAGGATAGATGGCTCTTGTGGCCTGTGTTAATCCTTGGAAAGTGTATCTCTGCAGAGATCTAACTCCTCTTTGAGAGCGTTCGCCGATGGAGCTGATACTACTGAATCAGGTAAGGAGTTCCAATCGTTGACCACTTTGTGAGAGAATCTAAATCCTGCACATATTTTAATCGTCCTCGGTTTGAGCACCTTTTTGCGGTGACCCCGTAAATGTATCCTAGAAGGGGAGAAAAGGTTAGGAAGGTCAGTTCCTGAATCACCCTTAAGTATACGGTATGCTAAACTTAAGTCGCCTCTCTTCCTTCGGTATGATAACGGGAAGAGATTTAAATGCTCCATCCTCTTATCATAAGGAAGGTGTGAGATACCACTAATTTTGTTCCTACTCTCTGTACTCTTTCCAGAATATTTGCCTCCTTTTTGAAGCATAGAATCCTCGCTTGTATGCAGTATTCTAATTGAGGCCTGACATATGTTGCGTGGAGTACTCGGAACATACCCTCGTCTAATGGTTTGAAAGCCCTTCGAATTGCTCATAGCATTCGAAAAGCTTTAGCTGCGGCCGCATTGCAATTTGCAGTTGTTTTCAAATCATTACTGACAATGCTTCCTAGGTCCTTCTGTTCGTTAACATCAGGTAGTTCTGCGTCCCCTAGGGAGTACTACGTATAAGACTTCTGACCTAAGTGCATTACCACGCTTTTCCTAGCATTCATTTCCAAACTCCATAGGCTTAACCACTCAGCTAATTTATCTAAATCAGTTTGTAGGGCCGACCTATCCTCGTTATTATTTACAGTTTTCCAGATCTTAATGTCATCTGCAAATAATGAAGATGAAGAAAGAATCCCTGGTAATTCGTTAACGTACAATAGGAATAGCAAGGGACCTAATAAAGTTCCACTGGATACTGCTTTCCATCCTGATAGTACACCGTTAACTCTAACCTGCCTTCTATCCATTAAGTAATCTCTAAACCACTCACGTAGGCATTTATCTAGTCCGAAACCTTTAAGTTTACTAAGGAGACCTAAGTGGGATACTTTGTCGAACGCCTTGCTAAGATCAATAAAAACCACGTCCAACAGATGGTTCGTATCTCTGGCCTCAACCCAATCTTCCCTAACCAATAGGTTTGTCAAGCAGGATCGTCCTGGTCGGAATCCATGCTGTCCCACAGAGTAGAAAGACTGCTTGAAGGACTAAGAAATGTGGATAGTATAGATTTAGACCATAAAAATATGACATTTTAGGTTAGAGTGGGCTGCACACAAACGTATGTGCATCATTGAGCCATATTGCATAAAATCAGATCCGGTTACCTCGTTGATTTGGATGGAGTAGCGTTTTCCTGACTCAAGTTAACAGGTTATCTATAGATGTGTCATCTTGATTTGATCACTTGTACTCCTCCACTTTTGTTTTTCCGTTAAAAGGAAATATGAGCGGATGGTAGGTAGACAGTTTCAGCATCTCAGTCACCTCACTTGCTGTTGTGTTTTGGATGTTTGCGGTTTAAATTCTTAGGTCCAATAAACATATCATTGTTTCAAAGATATATTAGTGAAACTTTATTCTCTGGATCTTACGTTGAAACTATTTTTTTTGCTATTTGAAACGTGGCAACTCGAACTGTTGCACTTCGGTGCCAAGTTCTATGTTGAATACAGACAGACATTGAAACTAAGTCCCAGGAAATCGGGTTCGGGTAGCAAAGTACTGTGTCTTGTTTCATCTATCATGTACTAGGGGATAAAAAACGTGTTCCAGGTTGCCAAGTTTAATTATTAATGTCTTTTAGCCTGTTTCCACTGGGTTAAGTGCAAGTTTGATTAATTTTTATTCGCAGAAGGATGTGAATACGTAGATGATGGGAGGGAAATATTTGATGATAATGATGAAGACGAAGAACTGTGTGACTTAAATCAGAAAACAAAAAACAAGGTGTCCAAGAAGAAACGACTTAATCCTGATATCCGTGCAAGTGAATCAGCACCACTGCGTCCTTCTGTAGGCCGTGATATTCGCAGTTTATTTGCGGCTTCTGCTAGTTCAAATCCTAGTAAGAAAAGAAAAGTGAGTCCTAGATTCTTTTATTTTTGTTAGCATGTCATGTCTATTGTCCCACCAGTACTCCAATGGAGAGCGTATATTACACAAGATAAAGTTCCGTCTAATATCTAATATCTCGTTCAAATGATACTATTCTTATGTCCTTCCTTTATTGTCTTGATAGCCTGATATGTGTGCTAAAAGATTTAGTCAAAATTTCGTGTTCCTCTAAATCGAATCTAATGAAACACTCAAGACCGTTCCGGGCATAGGAAGTCAATATAAGCTGAAGGATTTAAGTGAATGCGGGATAAAGAGGAAGTAAAAATAAAGCACATTAGCTGTTCTTTACTGCGAAATTATAGTGCCACTTCTCAAATTCTTATGGGTCTTCATTTCAATTTGTTACACGTAATTATCGGACCGGTTTTACTGCTGCTTCTGCATGTCACTTTTAGGAGGAAAAACTTTGCAAGGTAATAATTGGAACTACTGACGGTGTCTGATTCATATATATATATATATATATATATATATATATATATATATATAAATGTATATATATATATATATACTGGATATAAAAATCAGATTTTAAAATTCAGTGATAATCCCACATGCTCTGCATGCTTTTTCATTTTGACTCGTAAACTATGCTCATTCTCTCCAAAGTATCTGTTCAGGGGTTGTGATTTGTTGAAATTGGTCACTCACTTCTCTATTTTCATTACTCATTGGGGGTATTTTGCGTTTAAGGTTTTTGTGTAAGCTTATATTTTTGCCTAAACATTGATTAGGGGAGAATAAAGCCGGAGATGCTTTTCACAGCCAAATTGCAAGCTTAAAATCTAGGGCTATGCTATAGTGTTACCTGTGCTGCGAGTTAGTAGCGAAAAAACCCATTTCGGAGTGTTTGTGGAAGGCCATGTTTTTATCGTTGAAGGCTTAATTGAAAAAAGTCAACATTAAACAGAAATGTTACTCTAATTTAATAATGTATGGTTTCGGTAAATCAATTCTCGAATTATTGGATATTTCCAGTGGCCTGTGTTGCTGTCTTTCGACTAGTCCCATGAACTATGCTACTGCATATCAGATTAATGAACAAAGATTGGTGCAGTGTTTCAATCGCGTGTTCAAAACTTGCTCCGTCTAACAAGATTTTGATGATCGAATATTGCCTTTTTTGCCACTTATCTTTAATGTGCTTTGATTGTGAGGCAAAAGGAATTGAAAGTCCAGTAGTAACATATTTTTAGTAGATGTAAACTAGGTTTAAACATTGGTTTACAAGAGTTAAAAAAAACTTAGTGAGATTTTATGAGTAATCATTCCTTGTCATCTGTACATTTGAAATTTTATTTCTGAACACTAAAATGTTTCTACTGTTTTAGTTTTTTGCTTGTTTTATGTGTTTTTGTGTACTTTTATTTCCTATCTTTTATTTACTTCACTGAAAACTGTTAGGAAGCAAATGATCTTTCTGTGGACCCAAATCTGGATGATCTACTGGCGGAATTAGAATCTTCTGTAGCGGAAGTAGAAACTCGTCGTCCTAAAATTAGTGTGGACTCGAAAACAATTCGAACGACTCCCAAACGACAACACAGTAGTAATTATCACGATACGGATAAACCGACTTATTCACAACGCCGTTCACCTGAACGATCAGAACGACGCCATAATTTTAGTGAAGATCATCCACAGAGATCCTCAGTATCTGAAAATGATTATCCTCCCCATATTCAGCCTAGTCCACGACCACGCAATCCGTTTTCATGTCGAGGCCCCACAGAAACAGACCCAAGAGTAGAAGAGAATAAAACGAAAATGACTGAAGATCCAAAAATACGTATGTTTTTTTGTACAAAATTGATATCTGTGAGCATTTTGTGTTACTTACATTCTGTATTCCTATGAATATTTGGGTTATGTATGGTCCATATTTTTGGGATTTAAAATCAATTTCCTCGGACATTAGTAATTAACGAGAGTCACATCACATGAGTCCCAGATTAGTGTTCAGAACTGACGTTTTGAGATTGTTGCGTGTGCACTTTTGTAAGTATTTCTTATTATTAAAAACCATAGTTTGAATACTGAACATCAGGACTGAAGATTTTTTCATTTGAGTCATCTTTCTATGAATGACCTAACCAGATTTACCTATGGGACCTTGCCCTTTTTATTTAAGTACCTGTTGTGTGCGTAATTTTCTTGACACAAGAGTTAATGGTTACCTGTTTTATTCATGCTGTTAAGTGTTTCTGGTCCTTTTACTTATTTTTATATGTGGCTAATTCGTGATATAATGTACTTGTTAATTTTTGTTACTTAGATATCCTGATACCAGTCTTGCATTTTAAGAGTATGCACAATATAATGTGTATGGTTATGAATTACTCTTAAAGTATCGTGACAGTTATGTTAATGGTTCATACTCCTGTGTACCTAATGCTGGCAACTATCGAAGTATACAAAGCAAATGTGAAATTATCACATGGAAACTGAATTGAAACTATATGTTGTTCAGAGAAGGTTATTTGTGTATTTTATTGTAATTGGTTTACCAACAAACACCCAAGATAGTCTGTGTTATCTGACAACAGGTGGCTCTGTTAGCCAATTACTAATGTACAGAGATTTTCGTCTTTTTTTCCAGATGTTTCCCAGCCGATAAAAGATACAACACCATCATTTTCTGAAATGGATGTCGCCGAATTTACGTTGGATTTTGAGGCAGAAATTACCGAACCAAAAGAGTTGACTCCCAATACTTCTGATACTAAACCAGCCTCTGATGCAACTGTAAAACCAATCACAGATCTAACTGCTAGTTGGCTAGCAGCTGAAAACCTAGTTAACACTGATGATGCGACGTGGATAATCGAAACAGATTCAGTTTCTTTCCCTTCGTCGTCAAACAAAGGAAATGTACTCTACTTTTATTGGTTTGATGCTTATGAAGATTCCAAACAATTGCCAGGTGTGTTTTTATTTTAAGAAACAACTAAAAATGTCTTGGGATGCTTATTTTGTGGTTTTGTTGCAGATTTAGGTTGTTTACCTCATTTCACATTTCGTATTATGTTGTTTTCAGATAAGGATTGTGACATGAAACGAAACAACGCAAATTATTTTAATCCTCGTCCATGAAATTTAACTTATTTAGACGTGTTCGCCTACTGAAGATTTTCCTCAGATTTTCTCTGGGTATATTTTTATTTCAAACGGTTTTTTAGATTTTTTATAAACTTAGTAGTGTTGTGAACTTTTCTTATAATACGTATCTAGTCATATTCATATCTCTACCGCTATTAACACTCTTTTTTTCCTTTATATGTTTAAGCCATTCCGGCTTCATTGTAAAATGAATAAAGCCTAAATTCTTGGTTCATTCGTCTTTTCAAGATTCAAGCATCACTCATCGTTCTAAGACTCAATCACCTTCGTAACAATTTATTCATTTTACAATATTCATGGAACGATTTTTCCGACCTGATCGGTTCGACGTAGAACCTAACGCAGTTGGAGCTGCCAAGAAGTGGGATCACTGGTTTGCGACTTTCTCCTACTTCATTGAATCAATGGGATCCGAAAATCCTTCGAAACTACATATTCTCTTCAATCATATTTCTACTTCTGTATACGAATGCATTTCTGAATGCAAAACATACGAAGAAGCTATCGACACTCTCAAGAGTCTCTACATGCAGCCTTGCAACGAAGTGTTTGCTCGACACTTGTTAGCAACGTGTAAACAAGAATCTGGCGAAAATCTGGATCAGTTTGTTCGTCGACTCAAGTCGCTGACTACAGATTGTTCATTCAGGGCAGTTACAGCCGAAGAACATCGTAACGAATCTCTACGTGATTCATTCATCTCAGGTATACAGTCTTCGATGATACGCCAGAGGCTATTAGAACAGCGTACTTTAACTTTTCAAGCGGCATACGATCAAGCACGAGCTCTAGAGATGGCACATCAACAATCGCAGTCATACAACAATCCTGTTACACCTTGCGCGTCCATTTCTTTACATGATGTACCTCATTCATCAGATTCCACACCCTCCGTCAATGAAACAACCATTGCTGCCGTTGAATCCAAATGCTTTTTCTGTGGTAATCGTAGACATCCTCGTTCCAAATGCCCCGCCCGTGATGCAGTTTGCAAAGCTTGTGGCAAGCAAGGACATTTTCAGAAGGTTTGCAGGTCTGCGCCATCTACGAAAAAAGGTCCATCTTCAGTTAACTCTATAATTTCATCTCTCGTTGTGGCTTCAGCACCTCAAAGTCTCACTGATGCTGTTACGCAGCTTACTGTCAATGGGAAATCAATGCAAGCTCTAGTGGATACCGGAAGCAGTGAGAGCTACATCTCTTCCTCAGTTGTTCGTAAGTATAACTGGAAAGTCCATAAGTCTCGAAACAGAATCACAATGGCGAGTACGAATCTTACTAGTCATACTGAAGGACATTGTCTTCTATCCATCTGCTATAAAAACCACACTTATGATCTATTCAAATTTTCCATTCTTCATAATTTATGTGCAGACGTCCTTCTTGGACATGATTTTTTAAAACTTCACAAACACATTGAGATTCCTTTTGGGGGATCAAAGCCGCCTTTTTCTCTCTGTGGTCTACCTTGTGTTCGCGTCGACCTGCCTACCCTGTTTGAAAATCTTTCAAAAGACTGTAAACCGATCGCGATAAAATCCCGGCGTTATTCTCGTGAAGATGAAAGTTTTATTTCCACCGAAGTCAACCGGTTACTGCAAGAAGGTGTTATTGAACCTTCTAATTCTCCTTGGCGAGCTCAAGTTCTTGTTACGTCAAACGAACGCCATAAAAAGAGGATGGTAGTTGATTATAGTCAGACAATCAATCGATTCACTTTTCTGGATGCTTACCCATTACCTAGGATTGACGAAATGATAGAAAAAATCGCACAATATGACATATTCAGCACTCTTGATCTGAAGAATGCTTATCATCAAATTGCCCTAAGGAACGAAGATAAACCATATACTGCTTTCGAGGCTTGTGGGAAACTTTACCAATTTTGCCGAATTCCTTTTGGTGTTACCAATGGCGTAGCTTGTTTTCAACGCATTATCGATGAATTGATCAGTAAAGAACAACTCACAAGCACGTTTGCCTACATTGACAATGTCACTATCTGCGGCAAAACTCAGGAGGAACACGACAAAAATCTAAACAAGTTTATGGTAGCAGCACGCAATTATGGAATAACCCTTAATGATTCCAAAAGTGTGATCTCAAGCAGAAGCATACAATTACTCGGTTATGAAGTTTCAAAGGGGGTTATTAAACCAGATCCCGATCGGCTAAAACCTCTTCGTGATCTAGAACCACCCACAGATATCAAATCTCAACAACGGGCCGTTGGATTATTTGCTTATTATTCACAGTGGATCCCTCGCTTCTCAGATAAAATCCACCCATTGGTAAATAATCGGATTTTCCCTCTTGATATCGAAACTCGAAATGCTTTTGACAAACTGAAAGACGACTTAGAACGTGCAGTCGTTGTGGTAGTTGATCCGAAAGCACCCCTTGTTGTTGAAACAGATGCTTCAGATGTCTCAATTGCAGCTACATTAAACCAGAATGGTAAACCTGTCGCCTTCTTTTCTCGAAGCCTCTCTCGAAGTGAGAAACATCATTCATCGGTTGAGAAAGAAGCCTATGCCGTGGTTGAAGCAATTCGTAAGTGGAAGCATTACCTTCTCGGAAATCACTTCAAACTTGTCACTGATCAACGTTCAGTAGCATTCATGTTTGACAAGATTCATAAAGGCAAAATCAAGAACGATAAAATAATGCGTTGGAGAATTGAGCTATCCCCTTATCAATATGACATCATTTATCGTCCTGGAAGGGATAATCAAGCTGCTGATACATTTTCCCGTAGTTTCTGCGGTTCCTTGCAGTCAGTGTGCGACTTGAAATTTCTCCATGACTCTATGTGCCATCCTGGAGTTGTCCGAATGATGCATTTTGTACGCTCGAGAAACCTTCCATTCTCCCTTGACGAGGTGCGCAATGTAACCAGTAAATGCGTGACATGCTGTGAGTTAAAGCCTCAATTTTACAATCCCTTTAATTTCAAACTCATAAAAGCAACCCAACCTTTTGAAAGGTTAAGCATCGACTTTAAAGGACCTCTACCGTCAGCTAGCCGCAATCACTATCTGCTCACGCTGATCGATGAATATTCTCGATTCCCCTTTGCATTCGCCTGCCCCGACATGTCGTCTCAAACGGTAATGAATTGCCTTTGCCAACTGTTTTCGATTTTCGGTATGCCTTCTTACATACATACCGACAGAGGCGCTGCTTTCATGTCTACCGAATTACGGGCATTTCTTCTGGAGAAAGGCGTAGCAACCAGTCGTACTACCTCATACAATCCTCAAGCCAATGGGCAGGTCGAGCGCCTCAATGGAACACTTTGGCGTGCCATCACTCTAGCATTAAGATCACGGGGCCTACCAACGGCACAATGGGAGTCTGTTCTACTCGACGCCTTGCATTCCATCAGATCTTTGCTCTGTACTGCAACGAACGCCACGCCACACGAACGACTGTTTACCTATAACCGAAGATCGACATCTGGGACAACTCTTCCTACTTGGCTCACTGTACCAGGACCAGTACTTCTCCGGCGGAGTGTTCGTCAGTCCAAATTCGATCCCCTGGTTGAAGAGGTGGAGCTATTGAATTGTAACCCGCAATTCGCTCACGTTCGCTTCGGTAATGGACGTGAAGATACAGTTGCTCTTCATCATCTGGCACCCAAAGGCGAAGATATAGATCAAGTTGAAAATTCAATACCGGAGGGCGACGCAATTCCTGAGCAACAAGTAAATGGGGATGCGACCACTGATCCTAATATTCTTCGTGAAGAAAATACAACTGAAACGAACAACGGGCGTATTCTTTTGGAAAAACAACAACGTGTACGGCCTTACAATTTGCGTACCAGAGAAGCGTGACATAATGGCTCATTCCTTTTCAAGCCGCAGTGAATGTTGTGAACTTTTCTTATAATACGTATCTAGTCATATTCATATCTCTACCGCTATTAACACTCTTTTTTTCCTTTATATGTTTAAGCCATTCCGGCTTCATTGTAAAATGAATAAAGCCTAAATTCTTGGTTCATTCGTCTTTTCAAGATTCAAGCATCACTCATCGTTCTAAGACTCAATCACCTTCGTAACAATTTATTCATTTTACAATATTCATGGAACGATTTTTCCGACCTGATCGGTTCGACGTAGAACCTAACGCAGTTGGAGCTGCCAAGAAGTGGGATCACTGGTTTGCGACTTTCTCCTACTTCATTGAATCAATGGGATCCGAAAATCCTTCGAAACTACATATTCTCTTCAATCATATTTCTACTTCTGTATACGAATGCATTTCTGAATGCAAAACATACGAAGAAGCTATCGACACTCTCAAGAGTCTCTACATGCAGCCTTGCAACGAAGTGTTTGCTCGACACTTGTTAGCAACGTGTAAACAAGAATCTGGCGAAAATCTGGATCAGTTTGTTCGTCGACTCAAGTCGCTGACTACAGATTGTTCATTCAGGGCAGTTACAGCCGAAGAACATCGTAACGAATCTCTACGTGATTCATTCATCTCAGGTATACAGTCTTCGATGATACGCCAGAGGCTATTAGAACAGCGTACTTTAACTTTTCAAGCGGCATACGATCAAGCACGAGCTCTAGAGATGGCACATCAACAATCGCAGTCATACAACAATCCTGTTACACCTTGCGCGTCCATTTCTTTACATGATGTACCTCATTCATCAGATTCCACACCCTCCGTCAATGAAACAACCATTGCTGCCGTTGAATCCAAATGCTTTTTCTGTGGTAATCGTAGACATCCTCGTTCCAAATGCCCCGCCCGTGATGCAGTTTGCAAAGCTTGTGGCAAGCAAGGACATTTTCAGAAGGTTTGCAGGTCTGCGCCATCTACGAAAAAAGGTCCATCTTCAGTTAACTCTATAATTTCATCTCTCGTTGTGGCTTCAGCACCTCAAAGTCTCACTGATGCTGTTACGCAGCTTACTGTCAATGGGAAATCAATGCAAGCTCTAGTGGATACCGGAAGCAGTGAGAGCTACATCTCTTCCTCAGTTGTTCGTAAGTATAACTGGAAAGTCCATAAGTCTCGAAACAGAATCACAATGGCGAGTACGAATCTTACTAGTCATACTGAAGGACATTGTCTTCTATCCATCTGCTATAAAAACCACACTTATGATCTATTCAAATTTTCCATTCTTCATAATTTATGTGCAGACGTCCTTCTTGGACATGATTTTTTAAAACTTCACAAACACATTGAGATTCCTTTTGGGGGATCAAAGCCGCCTTTTTCTCTCTGTGGTCTACCTTGTGTTCGCGTCGACCTGCCTACCCTGTTTGAAAATCTTTCAAAAGACTGTAAACCGATCGCGATAAAATCCCGGCGTTATTCTCGTGAAGATGAAAGTTTTATTTCCACCGAAGTCAACCGGTTACTGCAAGAAGGTGTTATTGAACCTTCTAATTCTCCTTGGCGAGCTCAAGTTCTTGTTACGTCAAACGAACGCCATAAAAAGAGGATGGTAGTTGATTATAGTCAGACAATCAATCGATTCACTTTTCTGGATGCTTACCCATTACCTAGGATTGACGAAATGATAGAAAAAATCGCACAATATGACATATTCAGCACTCTTGATCTGAAGAATGCTTATCATCAAATTGCCCTAAGGAACGAAGATAAACCATATACTGCTTTCGAGGCTTGTGGGAAACTTTACCAATTTTGCCGAATTCCTTTTGGTGTTACCAATGGCGTAGCTTGTTTTCAACGCATTATCGATGAATTGATCAGTAAAGAACAACTCACAAGCACGTTTGCCTACATTGACAATGTCACTATCTGCGGCAAAACTCAGGAGGAACACGACAAAAATCTAAACAAGTTTATGGTAGCAGCACGCAATTATGGAATAACCCTTAATGATTCCAAAAGTGTGATCTCAAGCAGAAGCATACAATTACTCGGTTATGAAGTTTCAAAGGGGGTTATTAAACCAGATCCCGATCGGCTAAAACCTCTTCGTGATCTAGAACCACCCACAGATATCAAATCTCAACAACGGGCCGTTGGATTATTTGCTTATTATTCACAGTGGATCCCTCGCTTCTCAGATAAAATCCACCCATTGGTAAATAATCGGATTTTCCCTCTTGATATCGAAACTCGAAATGCTTTTAACAAACTGAAAGACGACTTAGAACGTGCAGTCGTTGTGGTAGTTGATCCGAAAGCACCCCTTGTTGTTGAAACAGATGCTTCAGATGTCTCAATTGCAGCTACATTAAACCAGAATGGTAAACCTGTCGCCTTCTTTTCTCGAAGCCTCTCTCGAAGTGAGAAACATCATTCATCGGTTGAGAAAGAAGCCTATGCCGTGGTTGAAGCAATTCGTAAGTGGAAGCATTACCTTCTCGGAAATCACTTCAAACTTGTCACTGATCAACGTTCAGTAGCATTCATGTTTGACAAGATTCATAAAGGCAAAATCAAGAACGATAAAATAATGCGTTGGAGAATTGAGCTATCCCCTTATCAATATGACATCATTTATCGTCCTGGAAGGGATAATCAAGCTGCTGATACATTTTCCCGTAGTTTCTGCGGTTCCTTGCAGTCAGTGTGCGACTTGAAATTTCTCCATGACTCTATGTGCCATCCTGGAGTTGTCCGAATGATGCATTTTGTACGCTCGAGAAACCTTCCATTCTCCCTTGACGAGGTGCGCAATGTAACCAGTAAATGCGTGACATGCTGTGAGTTAAAGCCTCAATTTTACAATCCCTCTAATTTCAAACTCATAAAAGCAACCCAACCTTTTGAAAGGTTAAGCATCGACTTTAAAGGACCTCTACCGTCAGCTAGCCGCAATCACTATCTGCTCACGCTGATCGATGAATATTCTCGATTCCCCTTTGCATTCGCCTGCCCCGACATGTCGTCTCAAACGGTAATGAATTGCCTTTGCCAACTGTTTTCGATTTTCGGTATGCCTTCTTACATACATACCGACAGAGGCGCTGCTTTCATGTCTACCGAATTACGGGCATTTCTTCTGGAGAAAGGCGTAGCAACCAGTCGTACTACCTCATACAATCCTCAAGCCAATGGGCAGGTCGAGCGCCTCAATGGAACACTTTGGCGTGCCATCACTCTAGCATTAAGATCACGGGGCCTACCAACGGCACAATGGGAGTCTGTTCTACTCGACGCCTTGCATTCCATCAGATCTTTGCTCTGTACTGCAACGAACGCCACGCCACACGAACGACTGTTTACCTATAACCGAAGATCGACATCTGGGACAACTCTTCCTACTTGGCTCACTGTACCAGGACCAGTACTTCTCCGGCGGAGTGTTCGTCAGTCCAAATTCGATCCCCTGGTTGAAGAGGTGGAGCTATTGAATTGTAACCCGCAATTCGCTCACGTTCGCTTCGGTAATGGACGTGAAGATACAGTTGCTCTTCATCATCTGGCACCCAAAGGCGAAGATATAGATCAAGTTGAAAATTCAATACCGGAGGGCGACGCAATTCCTGAGCAACAAGTAAATGGGGATGCGACCACTGATCCTAATATTCTTCGTGAAGAAAATACAACTGAAACGAACAACGGGCGTATTCTTTTGGAAAAACAACAACGTGTACGGCCTTACAATTTGCGTACCAGAGAAGCGTGACATAATGGCTCATTCCTTTTCAAGCCGCAGTGAATGTTGTGAACTTTTCTTATAATACGTATCTAGTCATATTCATATCTCTACCGCTATTAACACTCTTTTTTTCCTTTATATGTTTAAGCCATTCCGGCTTCATTGTAAAATGAATAAAGCCTAAATTCTTGGTTCATTCGTCTTTTCAAGATTCAAGCATCACTCATCGTTCTAAGACTCAATCACCTTCGTAACAAGTAGTGATAAAGACACTGATCTCGGTAGCACAACCTTCTTACAAAATATCAAAACTGCGGGTGCACAAATTGACTTTCTAATTTTTAAAACGAATGAATAGATAGAAACTGATCGTACACTTAATACAGTCGTGCTAAGGGGTGCTATCATGACTTGGTGTCATGAAGTTTTCGACTATACTGTACCTGTGCCTTATTTCCTGGATTTTTATAATAATTGCCTTAATTTTTAAATTCCTGCTCACGCACTTTGAAAAAGGAGCAGATTGAGCGAAGAAATATATTCCTTTTCAATTAGTTCCCCATCATCGGCTCAACACTAATATGTAGTTTTTTACATCAAAATGTTTTACCAATCAAGTGATTATTATTTTTAGGTATATGCGGGGGTGAAATTATGAGGTTAAAGGTCATATAAATAAATAATAGGTGTTAGTAACAAGACATTTAAGTCTTAAAAGAGGGGTGAAAACTAATTACGGAATTCAAGATAAGTTGATTCTTAGGCGTTGACAACAAGTTATTGTACAATCAAGAAATTCGTAGAATAGCAGCGGTGACTAAGAAAAATAAGATGATTCAAAAGAGTTGCGTAAAATAAAAACAAGTTAATAGAATTAGATAGAATTGTAAAAACTAACAAAGTTAAAAGATAGTTACTAGTGGACGAGGAAAAATCGTTTTAAAAAACTTAATACATATCATGTAGTTGGCCATGGCAAAGAAAGGGGCTGTGCAAATTTCCTTTGAACACATAGATTTGGTTTGTTCAGATGAATTCCAATTGCCTCTGTTGTAATTAAAAGTCGCACTCGTAGATCATAAGAGAGGTTTGGTGGTATACGACAAATAACCTTAAAAGCTTTGTTAGAATCAACTTAATGTTCAGTCAATATCGACGAAATGAGCTAGTACTGATATGCGTATAGATTTATTCGTATCTTTGCCAAACCAAGAGGGGAGGTGTTCATCAGGTGAGTTAACTGAATAAGTAGATCACATGTAGGATTCCATAATAAACAACATGCTGGATTGTTAAGGGGTAACAATTTGTCAAGGATATATAGTTGGACATTCATACAAAATAGGATGTTATGTCACCAAATGATATACTTTTTTGTAGAATTAATCTGGCTGATCATCTTTAGAATTCAGCGAGTATTCTCACGTTACGCACTGTTTGTTTTGCTTCTTGTTTCGTATTTTCTTATTTTTTTTGTAGTGAAAATTCATTTCCTTGGTTAACATTCCCTTCATCTTTTAGGTGTCGTTTACCTTTTTGGTAAACTTTATGATCACTCTAAATTTGGAAATTATACAAGCTGTTGCCTACGCGTTAAGGACATCGAACGACGAGTATTTCTACTTCCCCGAAACACATCAGTAAGTTAGTTTTTTCCCGCTGACATAGTATTCTGAAAACCTTTTGAAAAAATTGATTTGCACGTTTCTGTGGGACTGTTTCACTTTTCCCGTTTACATTGAGTCATTGACTACATTCCACCTACAGTTGTCGTTCTGTCCATTTCACCAATGACTTCAACTAAACGACTTTCGTAAGCCAACTCTGTCTGTATATCTGTCTGTCTGTCTGTTTTCGATATAGAACTCTGCACAAATGTGCAGCAGTTCAAGTCGCCACACTCCGTGTAGCACGCGAAACAAGAGAAGAAGGAAGAAGAAAAGCGTAATAGAGACAGTAAACAGAGGTGTGAGACAAAGGAAGAGTAATAACGAAGAACAAAACAGTTTCATTGGAAATCATAAGTTACAAGGAGTGGATGCATCTGCGCCACTGAGAACGATTTTGAGCCATGTCACCAATTGTTTCCAACCATAGATTTTTACCGTCCCGAGGACCCCAGCCTGGAAGTCTACACCTTCCTACGTGGCTTAGACTAACTGTTGTGGATTTCATTGACTGGTGCCATGTTTTTGTTTGACCGCCGCTAGCTTTCTTCCAGCCTGACCCTATATCCGCTAACATTGCTCGTCGAGGGAGGCGACGACTAGGCATACGCAACACATGTCCTAACCATCTCAATCTTTGTAACTTCACGGCTTCGTCGATTGATTTCCCCTGTTTACCTAGAACTCTACGCCTAACCTCAATGTTGCTCACCTTATTATGCCACTTTACACGGGAAATAGAGCGCAAGCACCTATGATCAAAGACAGCTAGCTAGTCTTTTCATGTCTTCCACTCTCAGTGGTCAGGTCTCACAGCAGCCATAAAGGAGGACGGAGCGGACTGATGAGCAGTACACCCGCCCTTTGGTCGATAGTCGAACATCTCGTCTACGCCAGAGTCGGCGTAAACTAACAAATGCGAAACGAGCCCCTTGTATTCGTGCTGAGATTTCGTCAGAGATCAACCCGTTGGGGTTGATGGTACTTCCCAAATAAGTGAAGTGGTCAACGTGCTGCACCACTTCACTTCCTATTTTTAAACTAGGCGTCGATGTAGTCCAGTCCTGTAACATCATCTTGCATTTGGCGGGAGCGAATCGCATTACAAACATTCGTAGATTACAGCTCAAGGTGTTCAGAAGGCTCTGCATTTCGTCAGCGTCTTCGCCTAGAAGGACTGTATCGTCTGCATATTCCAAGTCAACGAGATTATTCCCAGGTAGCAAGTCAATCCCTGAGTCGCTGAAGTCACCTAGGGTTAAGTCGATTAACACATCTATGATGAAGTTGAATAGAAAAGGAGATAATGGGCATCCTTGACGGACACCACTGGTCGTCATCAGTTCAGATGACAGCTCGCCGTAAGCCCTCACCTGGCTGTATGAGTACGAGTAGAGTGCCTTAATCAGTGCAATATATTTTCTTGGAATTCCCTTTACAGCCAAGCATCTCCAGAGAACTTCCCGATCGACAGAGTCGAGTGCTGTCTTTAGGTCAAGAAATATAATGACTGTTGGACGCCGGTAGGAATGACTATGTTCTAGAATCTGTCGGAGGGTGAAGATATGATCAATACACCCTCTTCCTGGTCTAAAGCCTGCCTGGCTCTCTCGTGTTTGTGCCTCCCGAGCACCACTTAGTCTACGCATGATTATTGAGCCTAAGACTTTAGATACTATATTAGTCAAGCTAATCCCTCTGTGATTATCACAGGAAGACTTGTCTCCCTTCTTGTATATGGGGATAATCAGTGACTTACACCAACCCGATGGGACTTCTTCTGATTCCCAGACGCTGCCTAGTACCTCAGTTAATCCAGACAGTAAGCTGTCTCCACCGTACTTAAATACCTCTGGAGTCTGTATATATGACTGGAGCTATATTTTCCAGTGAGTGGTGTATGCATGCATAAATGAAATTAGTTTTTCTGAGTTAATGGACTGTCGTCTGAACACATGAAAAAAGTGTTACGTTGAAAATGCCAATCTAATTCAGGAACTTAGGTAATCAAAATGCAGGCATCAAATATCAGTCGAGTTAAAAATTGTGGTTGTTACCTTGTATCCTGGGTTTTGTGGAACGCGCGAAAGCTTTTGAGTGGACTAAATTTATTTAACGTCCTTGTTGCGTTGGCCTCATATTCTCTCTTCTTCACACATTGCAGGCCAGCAATTTTTTAACTGTTAAGCAACAAAGCTATCCCTCAGTCATTGGATTGTTCTTTAAAATTTTCTTTTACAGAAGGTTGTTCCTGGAAAGTTTATCAACATCATCAAAGCCTTGTACAAAAACACCTAAGATAGATTTTTGTCATTAAACTACCTCTCACAACTTCTGACAACCGGCATTTTATTTAAACTGCATCACTTCATTTCATAACATCTCTGTATCTCTGCCATTGAGTTTCTTATGACAGCCTTAGATAGAATGTGCGTAGTGATGCAAAATCTCAGACTTTGAGAAAGACATTTGACTCTGAGTATGTAGATTTCATCTTGGTGCACAATAACATATAAACTCCCTAAATCTTATTAATTTGGTATTTAGTGTTCGTAAGTATGGTATGCACCTAGTAATGTTGTAAGATAAGCTGAGAGTGTAGAGTGTCTCTGCTTGTTCGACAGTGTCTGTCTCTCTAAGATTGTTAGCATCTGTTTGCATTGCCGTATATGTAATTATAAAGTCTGGTGACGCATGTTTGGACAAAGCAAGAGTCAATTTTCAATTAGTGTTGTAATCTTGAAATCATCACTTCAATAACGTGTACATTTATTATGAGTCTTTCATATCGTTCGGTATTTACTGGTCCTGAAACTGATTGGAATTAACTAATTGTTGGTCGTCTTTTGGTCATCTTTTCGGTTAGCGTCAAGATTCTCTGGTTGTCGTCTGATATATCGTGTAACTCGTTAGTTTGAGATATAGGATGTGGTTTAGAATTAAATCAACAGGAAACATGCTACAGGTTCCTTTTTTCTTGCTACCCAGAAGTTCATGACGTAATGAATGCTGTGTTAAACATACTCTATTAGCATACTTAATTACTTCATTCTGCTTAATCTTCAGCTGTTTTATTTCTTTTCCCTTTTATTTTTGCTCGGATATTGTGACACATTTCTTGGTGCGTGTATACTGCATCAGATTTGTTTTGAAGTAGGTAGACAACTAGATACCTAAGTTGCGTGGAATCATTGTTTGGAGTGAGTATTCTTAGTGTGATTGAATTCTTTGAGCTTGTTGGCTTAATTGCGAAGCTTCCATTGTCCCTCTGAAAAAAACATATTCATCGCCTATTTAATTGTGAAGTGAGTTCTTGGGAGCTTTCCGTGATTGGCTTAGCTATCATTCCTTAGGATTTTGACTGGTTGGTTTACTTATCCTTGTGGTAATTTGTATTGGTTCTGTGTTTCATAAATTTGCATGGATACATTCGAGGCTATGTAACACTAAATAAGACAAGCTGCAGTTACTAAAGCGTGAAAATGACATGTTTATTGTGCGAGTGGTATTTCTGAATCTGTACAGATGGTTCTAAGGCTGCTGGTTTACATCTTATCGTGACCATTATTTTCATTTCACCTTCAATGATCACCTATTATATCAATTACAGGATGCCAACCAACAGACATTTCAGATACTTTCATCTTCAACAAAATAATAGTTAATATGAAGTAGAGCCACCGAATATAAAATTCTGGTCAGAAATATCATTAATTATAATTATTCATGATGTGGTGGATTGATGAACAAAGTTTGCATCATCGGGGAAGTTGTGTGCTAATGAGCATGTTCTCTGAAGTACAAATTGCTGCAAATTTGTTATAATAGTATTGCATGGATAATTCATCAGGGGTGTGTTTACAGTGATTCACGTCATTCAGTGTTTGTGTATATCCATGAGATACTTTGTAGCCAGTAGCTTATATGATTTTCTCTAGTTGTTCATACTTATTTTCGAAATAACTTAACGGTCTACAAGCTCGTCTTGTAACCAGAAGATCCTGTGTTCAAACCCAGTGGGTGCTTACTGATGAAGAGTCCAGAACTAAGACGAAACAGCCGTCCAGGACTCCTAGATTTTCCAATGGTTCTCTAACTGATGTCAGGTCATGATGAAGTCCTCCAACCAACCAAACATAATCCCTGCAAAATCAATATTTGAAAAATAACTATCTATAAATTCCTCATAGGTGTCTTTGTTATTGATTTCTTTGTAAACTGTCATACTTTAATCATTAGCTACATTAGAGGTTGGCCTTAGTTCCATAAAAGTGTTATTGTCATTCGTAGAGTGAAACTTATTTTTTATTTTTTTTAGACTGAGGATGGTAATCCTGTTACAGTTAAAGATGTCTATGTGGAATTTCGTGATATGACTTCACAATATAAAATTGGAAAGTTTAGATGTAAGGTATGTATTATTCTGTTCATATATACAAATCGTACTTTTTGTTGCAATTTTTATTGGTGTGACTTTATTGTGTGCAGTTGGCAACGGGCTATGCCAATTGTGTAGTCTATTGGTACTGCCTGGCTGTTAAAAACTCATTTGGTTGGAAGCTTGTCAATTTATTTTTGTTTCGAAAACCAACCCACCTCCGACTTAAGGCCTTATTGATGGGGATTTTCAATACATGTGAATCTTTAGACAGTTCAGCAGTTAGTCACTTTTCATTTCTGAAGTATTGTGTGACTGAGACTTTCAGATGATTGATATCTCCTATTTCACTAGCTTGAAGATTTTCAAGTGAAAACCAACTAGTTGGCAGAAGAGTCAGAGAAGACAGGACTTCAGGCAAATATAAAGAAGGCGGAGGTGATGAGGAAACCTGACAAAAAACGAGCATCAATCAACATGACTGGGAAAAATCTAAATGAAGTCGTGCCTCTCACATATGGGAGCAGTGTTGTTTCAACTACAAGTGGTAAAGATAAGGATGTCAAAGTCTGGATGGGAACTGATAAGCCAGATAGGTGTTCGTGACTGTGAAGTCAATGTGGAGATCTACAGCACTAAGCACAAAGTAAAATTTCCTATTTTTCAACACTAATGTGTAGTCAATAAGTGCTTTTATATGGTGCGTCAACCAAAGCATTTCCAATAGGATGCTTCAAACTTACATTAACAGCTGCCTTTGCTGACTCAATACGGATGATCAGTTGAAAGGTCACAAGGAACTCGACCATGCAACGATCGAGCTCAAACCTATTACCCACTTAATATACAGAAAGAAAAGTAGATGAATCGGGCAAACGATGAGGAGACCGTGGGGTGACATTACAGGCCAGACAGGTCCCATAGTGGAACCCAAATGGGAAGGGTGAAGTCGGGGCATGGGTCCAAGGGTGATATGGCGATCATGTTAGGAGGAAATGAAAGCTTGTGGGTAGTTGTATTGCCAGTGCCGGCGAAATCCTATGTTCCATTAGAATGGCAGGGAATGTATAATAATATCATCTGGGGCCAAAGCTTGCTTTTTTGCATATATGTTGAATATCTTCCATTCACCGAATAAGCTGTGTTTAATTATGAATAATTAGGAATATTTATCTAGGTGGATATCGTATTCTGATAAAATATATGTTGCATATTAACAATTAGTCTATTATTTTGTCTTAGGTCCGTGTTTTATGCATTCAGTTTCTGAGTTCGTTACTTAAATTATTCCTATCTTAAGGAGAATGTTAAAGAAACATCGTCCGTGTCTTGTATTCTCGTGTTTGTTATGGTTTCTGTCCTAATGTTAAGTTTTATCATTGTTTCTTTCACTGTATCCTAAATCCTGTCTATCTCTCTGGTGCGTTTTCCATGTCTTCTTAAGCATCTATAGTACGTATCGTTGTTGTTGATCCATCCACTGTTTGTCGTTTCGTGAGGCTCTGTTTTCTCTGTCTTTGATTATTTCCACCACCTTATGATATTGTTGAGTCAGCCTCCTTTGGCAATCACTAAAAGGTCTGTGGAAGCGTCCTGTGATTCACAGAGTTCGAATCTGAGTACCTAAATGAATGAACCGTGAATCCTACAATGAAGCTAGAACACATGTAATATTGTATAGCTGTATAATTTTTTGTCCTATTCAATGTTTACCTGCTTCTCCAGTTCATCGCATGATGATCGTCAGTTATGTTTATATAACCTGATGTTTATGTTTCATTTTACTTCTGTTATGAAATTAAACCGTCGGTTCGTTCTAGAATTGGTTCATCATATAGTTGAATGAGTTAAAACTATTTTGCGGATAAGATTGAAATATAGCCGTGTAAAATATCGTCTGTGTTAGTTTTGGTTGAATTTCTTGTTTACACATCAAATGATCAATTGTCGACTCGTCTTAAAACGAGCATTGCACAGAAACATATTTTCGTATTTAAAACCATTGCCAAAGCACCATATCTCACACTCAGCTAGTCAAATCTTTTGGCGGTGTTATTGCTTTTCTGTTTTTATTTCGTGTATCAGGCCACTACAAAACGTTATGCTTTCGAGTTTGCTAATGTTCCTGAAGAAAGCGAATATCTTGAGATCCGTTATGCTGCATCATACCCAGCCTTGCCGGCTGATCTTCATGGTCGAACGTTTTCTCACGTTTTTGGTACGAACACTTCATTGTAAGTTGCCTTCTCCGTAAATTTGATTTTATCATGGAAGCCCCTTAATTAATCAATTAAGCATATGAAAATAAGACCTTGCGGTTAAGACAGAACATCATCCCACATATTTATTTGTCTGATCTGGCAAATGTATCATTAGAAATTGACCCATGGAAAACTACTGTTTTTATTAAATGTCATAGAAACTTACGAGTAGTAGTAGCCATTCAGATGTTTCGCATGCGAAACAAATATGTGATTGTTACCAAATCTCTTCGTTTTTGTTTAGTTTTTGTAGTCATAATGTATGACTGCTATTATCAGTCCCCCTCCTTGTAAACCCTTCAGATGTTGTTTGTAACTAAAGCCTAGTGATATAAACTTGCAATTACTTTTTTTTTTTTAACAAGATAGCCTTAATATATTCAGTAAAGCTCATCGTTATGTCGGTCATCAACCTGTCGCCAAATCTAGTATTATCTTTAGTCACAAAACTAAATGGTGTCACATTCAGTGAAGCTTAAGAAATTTCTCTAAGGAAGTTAACCGTACAAAAGACCTTATATTAGATAAAGTGCCTTTGGTAAAAGGTTTGATTTTCTGCAATTAACAACAAACTATTCATGCCTGAGGTTACTTTATTCAACGTTATTTTTACACCCTGTAGTTTAGAAAATCTAATCCTCGAACTACAATTACGTGGTCCTTGTTGGTTGGAAATCAAAGACGCCTGTAAGTTTACCTTACACTTTTATCACTATGCATGTTTAATATACCTACGCTTCCTTTCATGGTTTACCTTATGTTTAGTTTTTGTCAGTTTTGTCATCGTCTTTGAATGATACTGTAGACGAAATAATGTATTTGGTGGAGATCGTAATCTTAGGAATTGTTCTGTTGGTTTTCATGCGTCTGATATGCCATATAAAATGATAAGGATTGATTTCAAGTTGGTTTGCATCACGACCTAACAGCAGTTGATAAACAATTGAAATCTGCGAAGCGCATAATAATAATATTTCTAGCAGTTTCTTCAGTGTTTATCCGCGACTCGAACATAGATCGAGTTGGGGGCAGGTATTGGTCTAGATTCATTAGTCCATGAATTCAGTATTCCTCCAATTTGTATTGTAGTACCACACCTCCCTCCACTACCATCAGTGAATATCCGTCCTCGCATGCTTCCCGATTGAATCTACCGGTTAACACTTCTCTTTGCAAGTTCAGTAAATCTATGGTGCATCTAGGTATTGGTGGATAGTAGATTAATATTGAGATTATAGGTTTATGAGAGTTGGATTTGTTCTACTGTAAATTTCGTTGAATAATAATGAATATTACTTAAAAGATTAGAAATAGTGGTACTTTTTCTCTGTTAGAAGTGTTGTTTGTTTTTTGTAAAATCTTCTAGTAATTGCCTTCCTACTTGTTTTCCTAACAGTGAGTTGAAGAAAGCTAGTCATTATTCAGAATATCACATTATGGATACTTGTAAAGCAAGAAAATTCCACAAATATAGGATTGAATTTTAAGTTGTTGCATTCTCTTGTGCGTCGGTGGCACAGCGGTTAGGACTCTTGCCGATCATGCACATGGTCCGGAGTTCGATCCTCTGCCGATGCACACCTGATATGGTCGGCCTGCAAAATTTGGGCTACCGATATCACATGCTGAAAATTCCATGCCTGTACCAAAAATACGGTGTGGAATCAAGCTGTAATCAAAAAAAGGAATGTTGACATCTTTCCTATGGAATTTTCAGTGATCCTTCCAGTTTATAAATAAATTCCAACAGGAATATTGTTGACTAAATGATGACAATAAATCTTGTAAATGGATAGGTTGACAGATGAAACAGGGGAAAAACTATTGTTTTAGGAATATGGATGGATTGCGTACATTTAGGTTGTTATTGAATAGCAGAGGCTCATATAGTATCGTTCTTCATACTAATTCACTATAAATAATCAACTACTGTATAAAAAATTAAATTGCAGTATTTTGCTCTAATTTACTCTGGTCAGGGTGTTTATTCACACCAATCACCTTTATTTTATCTGTGAACATTAACTGGGGTTTATTAATTTAGCTCAGATTCAACCTCAAATAAGTTGGTGTCAAGTTGATTATGAAGTGAGTTGGCGGTCGGGAAGTGGATGTCCAATGATGAAACTATCTACAGTCGTTGAAAACCAGAAATCATCTGCAGAGAATTCATCCGTATTAACAAAAATCCCTCCAGCTCCACCTCTGTGTCTTGCGGCTATCAACATGAAATCTGTTACTCAAACACATTCGAGTCATTCTGAGGTGAGCGTTTCTTTGTAGGATTTTTCAGTAGCCTTATTCATTAATACTGCATTGTGTGTTACCGTTTATCATGTCTATTTGTCTATGTAAAATTAGTGAAAGATAGCAGTTCGGTTCAAAGAAAGTGTACTACAAATTCATCAGTTTTATACAAAATGACATTTATGCATCATAGTTTTTTAAGTATTAGATTTAAAGTTGATAAATGGTAACAACACTCTGTCATTCTTTGCACATGTATTTTTTCCCAACTTTCTGTCAGATTGGTTTTTAGCATAACTATAACGCTATTGTGAAAAATCTATACACTGGCATATTGTACACTTTCTATGGTTGACTTTATTGCAGTTTATATATGTAAATCCCAGATTGATCTATAAGCCACTTTTGTGCAAGAAATATTGACAGCAGTTGGTTACATGAATAAATGTTAAAGTAAAATGTAGTCCAACTGCAAATATGTGGTTCATTAGGTTAAACCAGCCAGTGTGTCCTGGATCCGACTGCCTTCCTCATTTACGTCAACCTGGGCAACTGGGTTGTTCATTTAATATTTCCACAACAAGTGTGGTTCACAACGAGATGCATGGGAAAACCTGTTCTGAATAATTTAGTTCTAACTACCACAAAATAGAAATGTCAAGTGTCTGAGGCAATATATCTCATATGTCCATAATTTCTACAGTAAAAGCAAATAATATCCTGTTTGTCGGTTTGTACCATCAGTATTCAGCTGTTCATTATAATTTTTTCTCCCTATCCCACTATGCCATTGTAAGTGGTGTCATAAGACAGAAAGTTTTGCTGGATGAAAGCCTATTTCTGTATTCCCCTTTTAACAAAAATGTAAATACGAGAATCCTTTCGGATTCAACTACGTGATAGCGATTAATTCGATTAATTCCCTGAGCGTTATACTCAGCACATAATACGAATTCATGAATTCAGAGAAACGAATGATGTGGAATTAGTATATAACCTAAGTTCTAACACCTTTTTTTATGCATTTCAATTATTATAATGTTGATTAACTCGTAACTAACTTTTCTATTTTTCTCCAAATTAGATTGTTTCTATTGGCTTGTTGATCGATAATGCGTATCTTCTTGATAGACCGATTGAAAAGAGTCTATTTCAAACACACTATTTAGGTGAGACTGTTTTCCGTGGGATAGTCTTCATATGTACTGGCAGTTTGCTACAGAATATTAATTTATATTTTAACAATGGAACATTACATTTTATTGTATTTTGTGCTTCAGTGTATCATAAACAGCTGTTTCGTCCTAGTTTGTAATTCTTCATCTCTCATCACCAACAACGTCATCATCGATCGGACCTCGGGGGCAGTCCGTTGGTCATTCTGAAGTTTAGACACTAATTCTAACTCCTGTAGATTCGTGATACAGAGCTACAGGCAACCGACGCGACTTAGGAGCATCCGCCTTACATTTTAACCCTATGAGCCACGACTTCACAAAACGTCATCCAACCTGTAGTCATCAGTTTGCAGGAGACTGATATTTAAGATGTAAAAGCTATCCAGTCCCTGTTAGATAAGTTTATTTCAAATATCACACAGTGATGCAGTATTTATAAGTGAATGACGTTTAAAGCATAAATTATTGCTCCTAATCATATCATTCTACCACAGTGCCAAAATCCTACATCGTCCAGCCCTTCTGGGAATCTCTAACTGACGTCGGTTCGTAGAGTGTAGTTGGTTCAGTTGCTCCAGGGACAAATGTTTCAAAGATGAATTGTATTATTCGCTGAAGCGCTTAACTTTCATTCACCGATGCGCCATTCCACTAACTTCGGTCTTTCAGTCAGGTAATATTGCAAATATATGGCTTTTAACCTGGTACACGAAATGGAAGTACTTAACAACTGATGTATACATTTATTTTGCTTAAATAATCAGAATTTTATGTGCTACTTACGGGAAGTATCTTTTGTTCTACTTTAGTTTTGGCACCACCAAAGGATGCAGCTCTACCATATGATCTCAGAACAAAATTACCGACTTATGGAGCTCAATACAGTCCTCCTCCTTCTACTTGGTTGTCTTTAAATACAGGCCCACCATCTACACCGAATATTGCGGAAAAAAATAAGAGTCGTTCAAGCGAAAATTCATCGGGGGCTGGTGGAATCGACATTGAACCCAACGAACGTGCATTACTAGGTAGATTCTTAACACGCCTGCATAAACTTGATCCTGATTTAATTGTTGGTCATGATTTATGGGGACACCAAATCGAATTGTTAATTCAGAGACTGAATGCTAATAAAGTGCGTCATTGGCATCGCATTGGACGATTACGGCGTTCAGCTAATTTCTCCTTGAATTCGAACAGTCGAGTAAGTCTTTTTGTGTTGATAGCTTGATCGATAATTCATGTGGTGGTCTTTGTACCAATGCTTGATAAACTAATAATTTTCTTGATTTTGATTACAATTATCATATGATTACTGCTTACAGTCTTCCATAAAAGGTGGTAGGGTCGTTGCTAAATTATGTATATCATTCTTTTATGATAAGCCATCTGCTCACAAATAAATAGTGGTTATTTTCTCTTGACACTATATTTTAATAAATCTAGATTATTACTTCAAAGCTTAGCATTTTGAAAATAGGCAAACGTACATACTCTCAATTGTGACTCTGAGTATCTTCACATGACATCATTCTGTCCTCAGCAATAAGGTTTATTGCTGGTCACCACATGGTGAACAGTGGTGGGTGACAAAAGCCAAAGAGGTGGAGAAAGCTTCGAGGATAGGCAACACCAGGCAACTATTTAGACTCATCAGGGAAACGGGTGGGAGAAGACAAACCATAAGTGAAACAATCTCTGAGAAAAATGGCACCATAATTAGCTCCCAGGATAGACGACTAGATCGTTGGAAAGAGCATTATGAGGAGCAGTTTAATTTGCCCACAGCCACGCTCAACCTTCCGAGCATCCAACACCTCCCTGAATGGGATATAGACGCAGGTCCTCCGTTACTAACTGAGGTTACTAAAGCTGTCACCAATCTGAAACTAGGCAAAGCAGCGGGACCTGATGGAATGACTCCAGAGGTATTTAAGTATGGTGGAGACAGTTTACTGTCTGGATTAACTGAGGTACTAGGCAGCGTCTGGGAATCAGAGGAAGTCCCGTCGGGTTGGTGTAAGTCACTGATTATCCCCATATACAAGAAGGGAGACAAGTCTTCCAGTGATAATCACAGAGGGATTAGCTTGACTAATATGGTATCTAAAGTCTTGGGCTCAATAATCATGCGTAGACTAAGTGGTGCTCGGGAGGCACAAACACGAGAGAGCCAGGCAGGCTATAGACCAGGAAGAGGGTGTATTGATCATATCTTCACCCTCTGACAGATTCTAGAACATAGTCATTCCTACCAGCGTCCAACAGTCATTATATTTCTTGACCTAAAAGCAGCATTCGACTCTGTCGATCGAGTTCTCTGGAGATGCTTGGCTGTAAGGGGAATGCCGAGAAAATATATTGCACTGATTAAGGCACTCTACTCATACTCATACAGTCAGGTGAGGGCTTACGGCGAGTCGTCATCTGAAGTGGTGACGACTAGCGGTGTCCGTCAAGGATGCCCATTATCTCCTTTTCTATTCAACTTCATCATAGATGTGTTAATGGACTTAACCCTAGGTGACTTCAGCGATTCAGGGATTGACTTGCTACCGGGGAATAATCTCGTTGACTTGGAATATGCAGACGATATAGTCCTTCTAGGCGAAGACGCTGACAAAATGCAGAGTCTTCTAAACACCTTGAGCCGCAATCTACGAATGTTTGGCATGCGATTCGCTCCCGCCAAATGCAAGATGATGTTACAGGACTGGACTACATCGACGCCTAGTTTAAAAATAGGAAATGAAGTGGTAGAGCACGTTGACCGCTTCACTTATTTGGGAAGTACCATCAGCCCCAAGGTGTTGATCTCTGACGAAATCTCAGCACGAATACAAGGGGCTCGTTTCGCATTTGTAAGTTTACGCCGACTCTGGCGTAGACGAGATGTTCGACTATCGACCAAAGGGCGGGTGTACTGCTCATCAGTCCGCTCCGTCCTCCTTTATGCTGCTAGTGAGACCTGGCCACTGAGAGTGGAAGACATGAAAAGACTAGCTAGCTGTCTTTGATCATAGTGTAACAACAGAAGACAAGGGCCAGGCAACAGATCGTTTTATTTTGAAAATCAACACGTATTTATACATATTTCACATACATTATTATAGCTTATGCAAGTAGACAAGCGCAGTCATCTGATTGGTTGTTTATCAGAAGTTAGGCAGACAAACGCAGGCTTCTGATTGGTTGTTTCGGGATTCCTCGACAAATAGAGTTCTCTATCTGCGGATCATATTTTGCCACGTTAACTTTGCTGTGATTGGTTGTTGAATCAGCCTTGCTCATATTTTCTCACGGCCTGCTGTCACCACAATAGGTGCCTGCGCTCTATTTCCCGTGTAAAGTGGCATAATAAGGTGAGCAACATTGAGGTTAGGCGTAGAGTTCTAGGTAAACAGGGGAAATCAATCGACGAAGTCGTGAAGTTACAAAGATTGAGATGGTTAGGACATGTGTTACGTCTGCCAAGCCATCGCCTCCCTCGACGAGCAATGTTAGCGGATATAGATCAGGCTGGAAGAAAGCTAGCGGAGGTCAAACAAAAACATGGCACCAGTCAATGAAATCCACAACAGTTGGTCTAAGCCACGTAGGAAGGTGTAGACTTCCAGGCTGGGGTCCTCGGGACGGTAAAGACAAATGGTTGGAAACAATTGGTGACATGGCTCGAAATCGTTCTCAGTGGCGCAGATGCATCCGCTCCTTGTGACTTATGATTTCCAATGAAACTGTTTTGTTCTTCGTTATTACTCTTCCTTTGTCTCACACCTCTGTTTACTGTCTCTATTACGCTTTTCTTCTTCCTTCTTCTCTTGTTTCGCGTGCTACACGGAGTGTGGCGACTTGAACTGCTGCACATTTGTGCAGAGTTCTATATCGAAAACAGACAGACAGACAGACAGCTGGTCACCACCACCAAATGGTACAATTTTAGCGTTTAGCTCGCATAATTTTGACGAGGAATTAAATAATTGTATCAATGAAGCTAATCATACATTAGCGACATACTGCTGTGAAAATAATTTCAAATGTTTACCGACTCTCGTCAGCGTTTTTTAACTATATATATGTACAATAGTGTCGTGCCTTATTACCATATACATAGAAGCTGTTCACGTTGTTATGTATATTAGAACCTATTGGCATATTTTGAAACTATATTTGGTAAGTAGGACTTAGCATCTTCCCCGAGTTTCCGAGGTGAATTGACCTCACAGTTTTGCAGGCGCACACAGTTAATCCTCTTATGTAGCAGTGGGCATTAATTATTTCTGATTTCCTTTCGTCTATTTTCACTCTTGTTATAGTTTATGGTTTGTTAAAGACATTTTCTACGGTTATTCCGATGTATTTGAATAAATACTGGTATGAGATGAGTAACTATTCGTTAATCGTTTCATTTTCTTCAAAATTTCAATGCTTTGTAATGTTTTAAGCCTGATTAAGACTTCTTATTGTATCGCACCAATCTGTTATGTGAAGGTAGTTACAATGTTCTGGTTGCAGAACCTTTACAGCGATATCCTTTTGAAATAGGTGTTGTTCGGTATATCAGAGTAGCAGAAATACACTGTAGGCGTAAATGAGTTTTACGTTCTTTGTGGAACTATATTCCAACTGTACAGAGTAAGTTTTCTCTTGTTTATAAAGTGTGCATGTAGCAGTTCATTTAGTTAGATAAAAACTGATTGATAACTAGTACTATTCAATATTTAATGTTTAGCAGACTACTTTTAATTAGCTAGTGTTTACTAGTGCTGTAATTTGAATTCATTTCACTAAACATTACTTCAATTTATATTACAATGGTATTCAATATATCGAAATATTCAAAATCCCTTTTATCTTATTGGAAGGCCTATTTCAAAGTATAAACATACATATATCAAAGCATCAATGGTGTTACAGCCAATAGATATCGTTTTCTTCACTCATGTGTACAGATTTGTCAAGCTTTTACGTGTGAAAACATGACAGAATACAACCTAAGCAAATATTTTTCTCTGTTTGATGTGTAGGTCCAACTTTTCCATATTAGTTTGTTTATTAAATGTATCACACTGAAACAGTATTGTATACTGGACGACGTTTCGAACACAATTAATTGTTCATAATCATATCAATTGTGGTCACACGACTTTGAGATTTGAATTTTTATAGTTTTCTTTGCCGTCTCCTATTTGTCGTATGGGCAGTAGAATTTTCGATATATCTGGGAATCTCAAAGTCGTGTGACCACAATTGATATGATTATGAACAATAAATTGTGTTCGAAACGTCATCCAGTATACAATACTGTTTCAGTGTGATACATTTAATAAACAAACTAATATGCAATTACTTACTACCACAGTGCCCAAGTTTTACACATATATTAACAGGTCCAACTTTTGTTTGTTCATTTCAGTTAATGTTTTCCCAGAATTATTCTCCTTCCAGTGCATCCTCTTATATAGAATAAATTTCTTTATTTCAGTCATGGCTTATTCGACATTCTATGCCTGGGCGTCTTGTTTGTGATACAAAAGTGTCTGCCCGTGAATTGGTTCGATCAAGAACATATAATCTTTCTGATCTAGCTAATCAAGTTCTGGGTGAAGTAACTTCTAAAAAAGATGATAAATCTTCAAAAGCAAATTCACTACCAAAACGTCAAGTTCCTCCAGTTTTAGTGAGTCGGATTAATGGCAATACTACAACTATTCGTGATAGTGATATTTCTGTCATGGGATTTGGCGCAGAATTAGCAGACATGGAAATAGATTCTGCTGACTTGAGATGCCTGTTTTCTACATCTGATTTGGTTCGGCAGTTAATTGACTTTTGTCTTTCAGATGCACATCTTGTCCTTCGGTTGTGTCATCAACTACAGGTTAGTCGTTCTATGATGTAACATATTTACCTTTGCCATTTTGCATAAGAACAAATAAAGATTTGCCTATTCTACCATGTGTAATAATAAGGTTTGATATGTACTTGAGGTATAAATTTATCTATATAAATGACTGTTGGTTTTCAGTTATTCACATAGGAATCACACCTTTTAACATATGTGCTAGTGGTAAATGCAAAGTGAGCATGCATATTGTCCTAGGTGGAGGAACTTTTATGAGTATAAAAAGGGTGATAGTTGTGATCTGAGGTCTTCCACTAAATCGCATTATCCATCAAATTCTCATTCTCAGAAACAAACTGCATGTTTTATGAAATAAGTATAATTATTATTATTATATCCTTTAATTCCTAGAGGAACATAGGGCTTCAGCTGCGCACCTCCATTGCCTTCTGTTTTCTGCCAACTTTTTCACCCCGCTCCAAGTCTGCCCACATGCTTTCATCTCCTCTTCACATGTCCTCCTCCAAGTCACCCTCACGCTGACGACCAACTCGCCACCCGCTTCCCTTTCGGGTTCCACTCGACGGCTTGTCTAGTGATGTCACTTGATGGTTTGTTTCCTCAGAGTATGACTAATCCAATCCATCTCCATTTCTTCCTGCCTATTTGTTTCACAATCGGTTCCTGCTGTGTTGGTTCGCTCATTGCCAGAGATCCCTGTTGGTGATCTTTTCTGGCCGGCCATCTGATCTTGAGTATTGAGAGAAGACAACTGTTGATGAAGGTTTGAAGTTTGTTTGAGATGCTCTTTATGACGCGCAGTGCAAGTCTCTGATCCGTATAGTAGCACTGACTTTACATTGGAGTTGAAAATCCGGATCTTATTTTTGATTCTGAGTGCTGTTGACTTCTACACAGATTTGAGAGTAACGAAAGCATGCCTTGCTTTTCCGATTCTGGCTTTGATATGCTCGCCTGTTCCGTCGGCCTGTGGTTGAAACGATACTTCCCAGGTAGGTAAAGGAGGTTGTTTCTTTCAGGTTCCTCCCATTTATGCTGATTGTTATCTGTTGTCGCTGTTGCTGTTGGTGTTGGCCAGGAATCTTCATCACCTCTGTTTAATCTATGTTCACTCGAAGTCCTATCTTTGATGCTTCTTCTGCCAACTTGTTACTTTTCACTTGCATATCTTCCAGTTTGTGGGAAATCAGACATATATCATCGTGGGCGAAGTCCAGATCCTCCAAGTTCTATTTTTGTGTGAGTCCGTTTTATGCCTGTTTCCTCATTGCTCGCCGCTGTCTGTCGCATTATTCAGTCTACTGGAATCAGAAAGACCATTGGCGATAGTAGACAGCCAGCTTGCCTCACTCCCGTCGTCACTTCGAAGGCTCCCGTAAGTTCCCCGTTGTGGATTACTTGGCATGCAGCATTGTCGTATAACTCTTGGATGAGATGTATAATTGTCGATGGGACCCGTAGTAGCGAAGTAGTTGCCAAATCACCATTATTATTGTTATTATTATTTTTGTATTTGCTAGGCCTTACTAAAGAGAAAAGCTCAGTAAGCGTAGTGTTGTATGAAGTTGGATGGTGGAATGATTGCTCCTAAAAGCAGTTAATCATGAAAAATGTTGAATTCATAATGATACTCTATCAATTTAAATCAAAGTGTATTAAAGATTGTATATGAACATGCTCAGTTTACATGTATTATGCATAACCTTCACTTTTTCAGTTGGAGGAAACTGTTATTAAATTATATGTCTTTCGTAAACCAATTGTTTACGACTAGTAGTTTCACAAATCCATCCACAGCATTGAAAATCTCTTATCGTGTATTTGTCATACGTAATATTTTTGTATCATCGAACATATAAACTATTCTATGTGGATAAGTACTTCAGTTATATTGTTTGTCTTTCTTATAGGTCTTGCCACTGGCAGTGCAGATCACCTCTATTTGTGGTAATGTTCTTAGTCGCACTTTGTCAGGTGGTCGTGCTGAGCGCAATGAAGCCTTACTTCTTCATGCATTTAATCAACACGGGTACATTGTTCCAGATCCACCAGTGTCTCGACGTGGTACTCAGAACAACCCCATGGATGAATGGGATCAAATCCAGGAACAAGGAGCAGAGGACGGGGGAACAGGACGTAGAAAACCTGCATATACTGGAGGATTGGTGCTTGAGCCTAAAAAAGGTGATTAGTATCTTTTGTAAAGGTGTCATTCGGTAGTTCTAACTGCGTAAATTATTTAGTGCTTTTTATCTCTTGAAACCACTATATGTGACGGGAATATGCGCATCAAACATTTAGATGCTAATCCTGTTCTGTGCTTTTCATGTGCTTAACGTTCTATTGCTAGAATTGTGAGTTTGATTGGTGTGATTAGTAATGATACTTTGCTTTCTATACCCCTGATGTTAACCAATATTATTTGATTGCATCATTTACCTAACAGACAAGGTACTGTGAAATAAATACGGCTTATTTCTTATGTACTAATACTAACATAACTATTATTCTGCTGCATGGAACATGGAACGTCAACTTCGTTGTTTAAACTTATCCTCTTTTATTTATCTCCGTGTTTATTTGATATAGGTTTCTACGATAAATACATACTGCTTCTGGATTTCAATTCTTTGTACCCGTCTATTATTCAAGAGTTTAATATTTGTTTCACCACTGTCGATCGTGAACTTGTAGCAACTACATCATCTGATAAGGAGGTGGGTCCGTGTACTGTTTTAATAAAGTCTCACTATGAGGCTCATCTTGTTTCTGTGCCTTAAAAATTAAACTGCTCAGCTATACTTTTATCCAAGTGATATATTCTCCATCCTTAGAGTTATCATTCCACATGTATCTAGTAAATAATCCGAAATCTTACTTATGACCTAAGAATATCAGCGTATTATTTCAACGTCTAAATATTCATATGTGCCTGTTTCAAACCGATTTATCTTAAATGTTGTATGTTGTTGCTATTCTTCAACATATGATACTATCTGTAGATTTCTTGTAAGAAATTGAGGTTGAAGGCAATCAGTTGAAACTTCGATTACATAAATCAAATCAAACACTTGAATTACCAATGAAATCCAAAGCTCTGTGAACGATAAATTATCAACCTTAAATCATTACTTGTATGGGCTGACTGTCATCAAACCACTGTAGCTGCCACAATGGTATCAACAACAAAGCTGTGGTAAATTGATTCACGGTCAAATTATGAAGAGTGTGTGAGAATGTATTAAACATGACCAGATGGGTTTTATTAAATAAGGTTCAAAAGGGAGAAGAACATAAAGGGAACGTGCGGAAGATACAGTCGAATCATTTGATAAAATTTACAATTAACAGTAAAACGTTGACATACGATACAATTCAATGGAAATAAACATTATTGTGGAATAACAACTGTTGAATAATCATGAAATTTTACCATATGCTACTAATAAGTAGTTAAGTGAATTAAACAAAGGAAAGTGGTGATAAATCACTGAAGTTAATCGAGAAGATATCTAACACTGTCTATGGAAATTAAAGATGAAGTGAATTAATTCCCAATCAGCTTATGTGTATTGTGCTTACCATTCCTACCTTTCCACACTTGTGATTAGTACAATTGACAGTATTGTTTCATGAAATTCCTAAAATTGTCATAACCTCATACATTTCCTAAAAATTTATTTTTATATGCTGTGTAGTCTGTTGATCTAGATACGATTGTGGCAACCTTACTGGCCAGTGTTCGTGGTGATGCTAGCGCTGCATCTGCTCTCAAGTCTAGTGATAAGAAAGTTCGGCTTCCTACTGATCAGGAACCTGGTTTACTACCTGCAGAAATCAGGCGTCTAGTTGAATCACGTAGAGAAGTCAAGAAGTTATTGGCAAATACTTCGTCAGGTGATGCTTCGCAACGTGCTCAATGGAATACTAGACAGGCTGCCTTAAAGCTAACTGCGAATAGTGTTTATGGTTGTCTGGGTTTTGCTGCCTCACGGTTCTGTGCTCGAGGTTTAGCTGCTCTCGTTACTGGTTTAGGGCGTGCTGTGCTGATGAGTACTAGAGACCTCGTGGAAAATATGAATTTAGAAGTAAGTTAGTCATCTTTATATTATCATTAAGTTTGTTGAACTTTTCCTAACCGTTTTTTATGTTTACAGTTCTAACTGTTAGTCACTTTACAGTATTTTCTTCGAGAGATATTTGCCTCATGAATGGTGTAGTAAAGAAAACCACTTCAGTTTTATGGTCGCAAGGTGATATGTTCTCATCTTATCTTTTTTGTTCAAGGTTGGAAATATTCAGTTCTAATATAATTGATACTTGGATAACATAGCCATTCACTGCCTCCTAGTTTTCAGTTGTTTTTCAAGTTATGTCAATTTCTTTTTTCAACTGTTTAGTCAGTATATTCATCAAAAAGTAACTTGTGAAATAATTACTTAGTAAGGTTTTTAAGTGTTGTTGAACTGCCATATTCCTCGATAGGGTTGAAAAGTAGTTATGATGTTTATCTGCTATTATCGAAATACATATATTACTTGAAGTAGTTTTCTCTTTAATACAAGTTTTCAAGTTTCTATACATCCTTCTTATAGGTGATTTACGGTGACACTGACTCTATTATGGTGAATACTAATACAACGGATTTATTAGCTGCATTATCTATCGGGGAGAAAGTGCGTCAAGAAGTAAATAAGCACTATCGTTTGTTAGAGTTGGACACAGATGGCGTATACGCTGCTATGCTACTTCTGGCTAAAAAGAAATACGCGGCTTTGGCGATAAACAATCCTATTCAGTGGGCTGCAGCAGCGAAACTAGCGATTAGTCAAGGATTACCACCACAGGTTGTTTCTACGAAACAAGAAATGAAAGGTTTGGATATCGTTCGACGGGATTGGTCAGCACTTGCTGTGGCTGTCGGGCGTCGGTGTGTTGCTGCTTTACTTTCTGGCGAACCCAAAGATGTCATATTAGATCGTATACATGCTGACTTGACAGAAACAGCCGAAAAAGTTCGCGAAGGAAAGTTACCTATTTCAGATTTTATCATCACTAAAGTAAGTTCCATTTAGAAGAAATTAAGAGTTTTGTTTTTATGTAGTCCATAATTACTATTTTTACGCTAACGTGTTACGAAGTGTAAGAGTAATTACGGCTAACCACTACTAGCGAATAGCAACAGGATACGTTTTGACAAGGTAAAATAGAAAACTGAATAAATTGCCTATAAATTTGATTGCACAAACTAAAAGCAGTGCGCTGTTGGCAACATTAGCTAGGACTTTTCGTATGCTTTTCTATGTTCTGTTTTTCAAACCCTGGTATCTAGGTTAGGAAAAATACTTTTGGTGCAATACTGTTGTGTATTGTAAAATATCACATTGAAAAGTCAGTTACTCTATCGTTCACAGTTAACTTATTTTCACTTTCACTTTTTAATTCAAAAGTTAGGTGGCATAAAGTGTGCCTCAGTTTTAAGTTTCTTTTTATCATGACCTCTATATTTTCTCCATAATCTGATTCTGTTTGTACGAAAATGAAGGTTTTTCTGATTTTTGTAGCATAATGTTTGTAGCAAGTTTGAAAAGTGTTTTCGAAGAACCTGCTTGCGACTTCGATTTGAACAACAGAATATCTTCAGAGTTGTATTTGCTAACCCTGATTGTTTAACTTGTCCCTCATCGCTTTATCAAATACAGTTTCATTTGCTGTATCATTTAACCTTATTCTCGAACTTGTCATATCTGTATCTTTGAGTATACTATGTTTTATGTTTAGAGGTTTTTCCTGTGTAAAACTTTCAGATGTTAACTAAGAATCCAGAAGATTATGCTGATTCTAAAAGTCAACCTCATGTGCAAGTAGCTTTACGTCTCAATGGTTCTAACGCAAATGATAAAAAATCTGCTACACGTCGAATTCGTGCAGGTGATACAGTTGAATACATTATTTGTGAGGATGGTTCTGGTCATTTGGCCACACAGCGTGGTTATAGTCCAGCTGAGGTTTCTAACCGTGCCGCTAAAGTATCCAATGGTAAGTTAGTGCTTTCTGAGTATATGCATGTGTATAATTCACTTCGTATGTCAATATTGTAGTGGTAGTGAAGTGAAGTAACCTGAGACGGCCTCAATCTGACAATGTTATGTTAATGAATTGTAGCAGTGATCGAAGTTGAAACAAAGGATAAATCTCTGCGTAAATAAACCCAGAAACCTGTAGACTACTAGTTCTTGATTCCACTGACGTGGATCTAGTGGATCTAGTGTCCAACTAATTCTGAGCTTCGATTTGATCACTGGTCTTCATATGAATGAGTGCTATGTATTTCACGTTCGACGTCATCATACTGTCCAAACCAGGATTCCAGTAACTGAGATGACCTTAGCTTGACAGACAATTAGTGTTTTTGTGATTTATGTATGATTGTAGAAACACTCAAAAATTCCTTATTAGATAAGTTTATTCTAATAATCACACAGTGATACAGTATTAACAACTGGATGACATTTCGAGCATAAATTATTGCTCATAATCATATCAATTGTAAATCTAAGTCAGTTTATTTATAGCTATGTTAGAGGGTATGGCCTTCGTTCACTCTTCGAAATTACACTTTTCAACATTAGTTTTTCCTGTAGCTATAAACTAGACCATAAATACTTCAGGGTTTTTCTTCCATATCTGACCAAGTGTCTGTCCATCGACAGCTCAATAGTTTACGAATATGTATTTTTTTACTTTTAAATTTATTCATCTTATGTGGGAAACTATAGTTAAATAAATTTTGTCCTCATTACCTGTTGTTCTGAGTTTTTACTTTCTTCCAGTTCCTTCATGATATGGTTGTTTTATACTCGTTACATGTTGTTTATTCATCTTCCCTTGCTATGTCTAAATTGTCGTATTAATTTAGTAAGCCTAAGTAATTGCACGATGCGTAATTTTGTGATCACTTTTAATACACTTGTAGTCATCATTGTTTGACCTTGTTGTCTTGTCCTTTCAGAATGTAACATTTGAAATCATTTCACATTATCTCTATTCTCTAGTCTGTCCTTATCTTCTATGCTGTTATTTTGCATCATGTTATCAATTTTTCCTTTCGAGATGCGGAATCATCTGCACAGGGGCCCCTCTCAATTGATGTGAATTACTATTTAGCCCACCAAATACATCCTGTTGTTAGTCGCTTGGTTGCACCTATTGAGGGCACTTCTCCAGCTCGCATTGCTGACTGCCTTGGATTGGATCCATCGGGTTATCGACGATCTAACGTGACTGCTATTGGGGACGAAGACGATGAAAATGCAAGTTATCTGTTACATAGTATAATAATAATATATTTCTTCTTGTAGAACCCAGACGGTGGGCTCGCTAACTTCACTTCGTCTATTACAGCGGGAGATATTGATCCCGTTTACGTTACATGCCCACGAAATTGTGGTGGTCCTCCAATTTCCATCACAAATTCTGCTTTCAGTGTTGTTGGTAAATCTTGGTTTGTAAGTTTTCATTTTATAGTGATATATTTTTATTTCCATTTACTGTACTGTATGTTTTCTTGTTAAGTGTGTTTTGTTTTATTTGCGGTGTCTGTTAGTGATGATTATTCTTGATCAAATCAGTGTTGTGAATGTTATAACGCTGTTTCTTAACTGCTTTCACACTTCAGTATTACTATGCTAGATGATAAAATTGGTGGGATGTTTTATACCTTATACCTTTCATTTTTTTGTCCAAAGGTCTGAACACGCATAGTGTAATAACCTCTACTGCTCTGAGAGAATGCTAGCTTTTATATCGATGATAACTATTTTCTTGAGCAATTACGGCATGTTAATGAATTACACACTGTTAGTTTACAGTGACTAGAAAATGCACATATCTTTCTTTCATGTTTCTCACTGTTAATTGTTCAAGATGTGTAAACTGCTGAGGCTTCCAAACTCCACGTCTTGTTTGCATTTTTCACAGGTAATGGTATTTACAACCCGTTCCTTAGTCGTCACATGTTCAGTATATTTCTCTATATATAAGTATTTACCAAAAGAAGATTAGGGAGCAATTAATTAATTAAATCGTTAGTGGAAAAAGTTTGTTGCTTATTTTTACTAAGTTTTTTGTACGCTCTTTCTATCGATATTTACATTTATTCATCTTGTTTGTTTGTTCTGAGTTGTTTTCGCGATCAAGATTGTTTCTGAAACATCTTTTTTTTCTAGATAACTTATTGTCTACTTGGATTTAATAACTGTTTATGTTTTTTGTCTATTGCAGTGTCCTACTTGTTCACACAATTTATTATTATCTGAAGATTCCACTCGCCTTGTTACTAACCGCTTGATTTTTGAAGCTCGTCGCCTTATTGTTCGACATGAATTAGGCTGGATGACTTGTGAAGACCCTGCTTGTGGTGCAATTACACGTTCTTTCCCTTGTCCACCCAGTTCTGGTCATCATGCTATTAGTGAGTCTGATAGTCTTTGGGCACGTGGTGGACGCCCTCTTTGTGCTGCCTGTGGAGGTCAAGCGGTGCTCAAGTCCAATTTTTCCGAATCAAAACTGTATAGGCAGTTATGTTTTTTCAGATATCTTGTGAGTCCACCAAACACTAAGAATCCTTGGACCACTACTGATTTAGATGGTTAGTTAACTTTCATTTATGAAGTGAATGCATTATTGTATATTTACTGTTATGTGGTATGACTGAAGTAGTTTAGCTTTGTCTATAGTACAAAAATATTTTTGGTGTGTTTTCATTAAAGCATGCGTAGTGCTCTTACAATAGATTTGTTTGAATTTGTATACCACCCTTTCCTCCTTATTGTTCCTCCAAATTCTTCCCAGGGCTTCTCAAAAAGACGATGTCATATTGCATAAAATATGAAAGGCTGTGTGCAGAGTTGGTGGTGTGCTTTTGATTCAACCAACTGACATTGTCATTGATAGGCATTCTAATTCTTGCAAGCAGCTAGCTAAAGTTATCTTGTCTGATACCGAGCAACCTAACTGACTGACTAGTTTCAACGTAGAACCTTGCACCGATGTGCACCAGTTTGAGTTGCCACACTTCACATTGGTTTTTACCATCCCAAGACTCCAACCAGGAAACAAGTCTATACCTTCCTACGTAACTAACTTAAACTAACTGTTGTGGATTCCGTTGACTGATGAAGCCGTGTTTTGGTTTGACCACCACTGGCTCTTTTCCAACCTAATCCCTCCTGTCAACTAACATTGCCCATTGTTTGGAAGGCGATAACAGGGCATATGTAACACATGTCCTAATCATCTCAATCCTCGGTGACTGATCTCCTCTCCTTCCTTATCTAGCACTCGACTGATACCTAACCTCAATATTCCTCGACCTGTCATACCTGTTAAAGGTTGTCAGCAGGGTAATCAGTTTGCCACTTAGCCAGCTTGTTAATATTCTGGTGGACAGGCACATGGACTCATGTGAAAAATGGGTGAAATCCATTTTATCTGACTCACAACACCCTCTACATTCACAACTCTCCCCATGTATTTCTTCAGGGAAAACCAGAAGCCTATATAGGAAACTATATGCCCGCACTAGTAAGTACAAAAACTCATCCATACCCTACCTAGCTCGTGTTCTGTGCGATAAAGAAAGCATTAGGCGTGAAACCTTTAACTTATTAAATAGTCAGTAGAACAAATAGATCTCGTCTTTCCAACTCACATCATTTACCGGTAAAACGTTTTCTCTCTACCTTTTTTTCTCTTTCTGTATTTATTTTTGTTATGTGGCGTTTTGTTTCTCTCTTCCTTACAAACTCCACTTAAAACATTCTTCTTCGTTCTTTCACACTCTGTATATCTCGACCATTTTGCTATCGCTTACGCCAGTAAATATGCTAGTAGTATCTACTTTTCTAACACCTTCAAACACTCTGTTTAAATTTTGACTTTGCTATCGACATGCTAATATATTGTTGTCAAAACTGACTGAGATAACTTTAATCTATGTAGAACTTTATTTATTGTTAATGTACTAACTGGATGCAATATTGTAGTAAAGATGCTGAGAATTCCATTCTGTATCACAAGTACTGATTTGGAATAAATTATTATTATTATTATCTTATCTTCACAAGGTGGATAGAACTTAGGCACCTCTCTGTGACCACAGACGGATAGCCAACCTTTTCATCTCTTTCACTTTCAATGATCAGGTGTCGCTCACAGCTCTAAAGGAGGACGGAGCGTACTGCTGAGCAGTACACACGCCCTTTGGTTGACAGCCAGCCGGATATCACGTGTACTAAGCCAGAGACGGCGTGAAGTGGCATATGCGAAACGAGTCTTCTGTATCCCCGTTGGGGTTGACGCAACTTCCCAAATAATTGAAGTGGTCAACACGCTCAGCCACCACTTCACTCACTATCTTTCAGCTAGGAATCAATGTAGTCCAGTCCAGTCATGTAGGATCATCTCACATTTCACAGCACTAGCGAATCACATGTCAAACACTCGAAGATTGCAGCTCAAGGCGTTTACAAGACTCTGGATTCTGTCAGCATCTTCACCTAGCACGGAGGACTATATCATCCACACATACTCTGCGTCACCGAAATCATTCCCTGATGGTAACAAGTCAATACCTGAGTCGCTGAAGTCAGTAGTGAGGGCTAAGCCTATTAGTACATTTACAATGAAATTGAATAGAAATGGGGATAGTGGGCATCCTTGACGGACACCACTAGTCGTCACCACTTCAGATGATAACTTGCCCTAAGCCCTCACCTGGCTGCATGAGTACGAGTAGAGTCCGTTGATCAGTGCAGTTTATTTTCTCGTCATTCCCTTTACAGCCAAGCGTCACCAGAGAACCTCTCGGTCTACAGGATTGAATTCCGCCTTCAGGTCAAGAGATGTGATGTTTGTTGGGCCCCGGTAAGAACACTTGTTCTAGAATCTGTCAGAGGGTGAAGATATGATCAATACACCGTCTTCCTGGTCTAAAGCCTGCCTGGCTCTCTCGTGTTTGTGCCTCCCGAGCACCACTTAGTCTACGCATGATTATTGAGCCCAAGACTTTAGATACCACCATATTAGTCAAGCTAATCCCTCTGTGATTATCACTGGAAGACTTGTCTCCCTTCTTGTATATGGGGATAATCAGTGACTTACGCCAACCCGACGGGACTTCCTCTGATTCCCAGACGCCGCCTAGTACCTCAGTTAGTGCAGACAGTAAACTGTCTCCACCGTACTTAAATACCTCTGGAGTCATTCCATCAGGTCCCGCTGCTTTGCCTAGTTTCAGATTGGTGACAGCTTTAGTAACCTCAGTTAGTAACGGAGGACCTGCGTCTATATCCCATTCAGGGAGGTGTTGGATGTTCGGTAAGTTGAGCGTGGCTGTAGGTTAATTAAACTGCTCCTCATAATGCTCTTTCCAGCGATCCAGTTGTCTATCCTGGGAGCTAATTATGGTGTCATTTCTCTCAGAGATTGTTTCACTTGTGATTTGCTTTTTTACCACCTGTTTCCCTGATCTGGTTTTGCCAATCGCCGGTGCCTTTTCCATCTCCTTTGCTTTTGTTGCCCACCACCGTTCGTGGTCTTTACGAAGACTTCTTGTTAGTTTTCGTTTGAGTAGCTTTCGCTCATCATGATAATCGGCGCTCTCCGGAATCAGTCTTCTTGCGTCCAGCAGTTCGGATGACGTGGTAGAAATCCAGTGACTCTTACTAACTTTAGGTTTCAGGTCTTTGAATAGCTTTTGCAGCTGTGTCTACAGCTAACTGTATGTTGTGCCAGGCTACCTCAGGAGAAGTTCTGCTGTGGACCTCAGGTACCCGTTTCGCTATTTCTTCCTTAAATAGGGACTCGGTGTCCTGATCTAGTTGGGACCGTAACTAATTCGCCGCAAACAAGTTTTTTTGTCCGTTTAATCGCAAACGTAAATGTGCGCAAACCAGGGTGTGATCGGAGTTTACCCACGTGCTCCAGAATAAGCGGCAGTCTTTAACTGACCCTAACCGACGATTCCCTACTGCTATGTGGTCTATCTGAGTCCGGCGTTGCTTTGGTGATGGAACCGAGCAAACCTCCCTATTCGCAATTTCTTCCTTCTATCTCTGCAGGTATTACCACAAGAAATTTCTTAAGAATTTATGCTCGTACAGTAAAAGCGCTGTTACAATGTAGTTATTAAATCTACTGTAATTTTCTGTGGTTAGTGAATTAACAGATGAGATTGAAAATTTCAGTGGATATAAGTTATTATTACACTAAGCCTCGTTTGTTAGTGTTACTGCTATTCACAAGAACTTGATGCACGAAAATTCCCGAACACTGCTTGAGAAGCGCGCAGATATTTTGTGTCTTTTCATTTATGCCTAACCTATTGACAATTATTTATTGGTGCTTGTGCATATATAATTTTTGAATCTGATACTATGTTTAAAAAAAGGTTGTTAATGCAACCCTGAAATTCCGTTAGGAAAAGTCAATGAACAAGTTTCTTTTCATTTTTTACAGTTACCCTTCCACCGATGGTTTCCAGTATTCTACAACAATGTCGAATACATTTTGATCATCTTCTGCTTTATTCCGCATTTGCAATGGTGGATCTGAGTAAATTGTTCTCTGGGTTACGCCCTGTGCACAAAGGTCCTGAATTTCGTTAAAACAAACACAGTCTTCTTATAATCTCTATTTAGATATTATATATGTGTTCATTTCCTCAATGTAAAACTTATTTTTGTACTGAAAATTGCGCCTACATACTACTTCAAGGGTAATTCTATAAGAAAAATAAAATTTTCATATCTTGCTTCTATCGAATTGGATAGGTTTATTGGATAACGTTTGCATAATGAACATACAACTGAAGCATGTTGTTTCCAATGTTTTTTTGTTAGATGTTGAATATATTTTGTCCAGAAAGCTATGCAAGTAAATTCTAGGTTTCTTGTGACTCACTAGGTATTAAAGTATGCGTTTAACTTCCAGAGAAAGAGATGTGCGCGTCTCTTAGCATCTTGAACCGTACGATATACAGTTGTTATACACTCAAAACAATCAAAAATATATGGTGGTATATTATAAACGCAAGATTAGAACTGTTGGCAGTCAAGCCTGTCACGTTATATCTTCCACCAGTTAAATAATTCAAAAAGGTATTACTGGGTTAAATAATGTACTTTGGTCTGTTCCAATATCTTGAACATTTTGACACTAAGTAATGAGAGTAGGGATTGGCGCTTAGTTGCATCACTTCAATTTATCATACTTACATGGAAAACACAAAATAAGAGAGCAGAAACGAAGTGAAACAGTAACCATAAGACGCGGGTGTGATTGAGAGAATAAATAAAGATTAGGGACATTTTCAAGTTTTGATGACAAGGGGTAAATACATCCGCGAATTATTTTCAATTCTTATAGAGAACCTTCAGCTGTTGGTTTTGAGCATTTCGGAAGACCCTATGAAGCAATCTAGACCTTACTACTAAGCTGAAACCATGAGCTAACGATTCCATGTTCCTGACTAACTTTAAGTTTTTTAAACCAAACTCTTTTTCACCTAACGTTTCCATCAGAAAAAAATTGTTGGCTTACATGGACAAAATTTCACAGCTATAAAGTAGGGTAGAGTGAACTACCATCCAGGACACGCGTTCTTTGACATACAGTCAAATATCACTTCGGTGTCAAAGTGGATACAAGTTGTTTAGTGTCAAACAAGCCTTTTGTGTCTGTGACATGGGTCTTCTCAACGACCCATGCATTAGGACTTATGCAGTTCCTTAAATAAGTGAAGTAGTACAGAAGTACAGAATTAATCACTTGGAGAATAAAGCTAAACTGAGTGACGTAAACTGATAAACAGGGTTGAGTAGAGTTCATCTGGAATTGAAAAATAGTGGAGTGAAGATCATAAGAAGTACAGATGTAGTAGTAGTAAAAAATGAGGAAATAATAAAAACGTATCATGATTTATTGGCCATTTAAGTGAACGACTTCTATGTCTACTGTTAAAAGCGGGAATCAGCATTTCATCTGATTTTAAAAGAAAAACGATGAAAACATGTCCTTATTATCGTTTATAATATCTTTCAATCTGATGATTATTTTATTACTTCTGATAAAGTCTACATGATTATATGAAAGGATTTTTTGTGAAATCTTCTTTGAGAGTGCTAATAGATAATGACATTTCGCGTGAACAATGTACAGTTAAGCAAAATAAGTGAATGAATGTTTGGAGAATTATGCATTTCTAGAATGTGTTTAGGAACTACTTTCATGACAAACCAGTGATTCCAGTACTACCGATCTATGTGAATGAATGGGAATTCTGAAAAAAACACTTAAGGGTTTTAGCTATCGTTGTAGTGAATAGTAGTGGCCTAGCTTACGAAGCTCCGTTAGTGAACATTTTCTTTTAATTTATGGAAAATTCCCATTGTAACATATAGGAAATCAAAACAAGTGCTTCAGCGAAGAGACTCTTTTCAACGAATTTATTATCAAGCTGTACAATCGTATATATATATATATATATATATATATATATATATATATGGTTTTAAAAGAAGTTATATCCGGTAAGGGAATTGGATCATAGGTGTGAATGCATAGTAGCATGAAATGCAATTAAAATATTTGTGATTATAATCATAGTTGAATGTGAAGTGGCTAAACAATTAATGTCATATATAGAATAATCCACAGGATGTATAGAAATTGGGAGGGGTGTGCAATTATGCGATTAGTAGGCAAACGAATAAAATAAAAACGTTAGGTAATATTGTGTGAAATTTGATAAAATATAATTTAATGTTGCGAAACAAAATTGATTTCGAATGACAAGTGAAATAATACCGGGGACAGTTCAAAGTGAGAATAGTAATAATTGACATAATAAAGGAAGAGCACACAAATTAAATAGGAAAAATAAAAAAAATTGTGGAGCCAAAATATGATTTGGTATTACTGTAGTTTAGTATAGAGGGATTAATACCATGAAAGTTTGAGGAGTTGAACGAACGTTTTCTGTATACAGGGATATGGTTTTTCTGTTTCGATAGCGAAAGCTTCAGCAGTACAGATGAGTCGTGTACGTAGTCATCTCCGTAAGTTACTTTTTGCCTTGTAGATGACTTTAAAAGCGGAGGCTATAGAGATAGGGTGGTCATTATCGACCAGATGTTCAATGACCGCGCTTCTTACTGCTCCACTTCCACCTCTTCTCAACCATGCAGGGTAGTGTTGCACCCTCTTGGACAAAACTCGAGTCGAACGACTGATATACCTAGCTCCACACAAGTAGTCGGTCAACAGCGGGATCTTATCCTTCAGGTTATTGAACAGTAATGGCCGACTGGTAAAGGCTATTCTCAAAGATGAAGCAGGGACTGTGATATCCTTCTTTTCATAATATCGGAAGCCAAGTCATCTTTGAATTACAAGTTCTTGTACTGTATTTTTCTGGGTGTGGATAATCAGTCACGTTACATAGCATTTGAATGTATGTTTTTGTCTATAAAACGTGGTGGGAATCCATTTTCCATTAGGATTTTCCTCAAAATGTTTAACTCATCCTCAACAGTTTCAGCGCTACATATGCGTCGAATGGGGGTGGCAAGCGACAAGTACAGGTTTCATTTTCAACCAATGGGTACCCAGTTGTAGAAATTTTTCAGTTGACTACTCCATGACACCTTTCGATATATCGATCTCTTCAGAGTTCCATCGGTCCTCCTTGATAAGTTTACATCGAGGAAATGAATACTAGACTCGTTCTCCCGACCGAAAGCTGCTACCTTGACGTGGTGGTCGGGCTTGAACACCGCAATGATCTATTCAAGCTATACTGGCTGAGACTTATGTCTCTTGAGGTACTACCATGCCAGGCAGGTTGTTTGGATAGCGGTTAAACAAAAAGCAGCTACCCAATCCAACATCATGTCCAATACAAAATCACAAAATTTCATGCCGGATCGGCCGTGGCCCGGATTAACAACGACCGCGCTTCCTGCTGCCGTGTCACAGGGCGGGAGTGATAAATCTGCTACTGAGACACACCAAACAAAAAAGAACGAACAAAAACAGGCCGCGTGTGACCGGCCTCAAGCAGTTGTCCCCTGGGCTCTGCGGTCACGCAACCAACTTCCACGGTGTGGGCAGCCGGGAAGTAACAATCGCCCTCACAATCCGAAATGCACACGAAACCTCTCTATTACTCACTCATCTTTGTCTTCATCTTCATCTCTATCATCTTGCCTTCCTTCCACTGATGCAACTCCTCGACTTGATAGCTCTCCACTTCCTCTCCACTCTGCGTCCACTAAAAACGATGGAAGCCAAAAAACCACCACCGACAGCCTCTTAAAGCCGCGCCACCAATTTCATATAGGAGCTCTTAATGTTAGGACACTTTGCCAAATAGGACAACAAGCATCACTAGCCAAGACCCTGGCATCACGAGCCATTGATGTATGCTGTGTTTCAGAAACACGCATACAAGACCCAAGTGTGGTTATTCACCTAACCCCACCTGGCCAACAGGTTGAATCTGCAAAATTCACCTTGAGGGTGTCAGGAGATGCCACAGCTAGTTCACGAGGATTAGCTGGCGTAGGGATAGCTTTGAGTACTAGGGCAGAAAAGACATTGCTTGACTGGATCCCGGTAGATAGCCGAATGTGTGCTGTCCGCCTGAACGGATCAGTAAGAAGGAGGAAGGACTGCACTACTCGCCGATGCCTTTTCGTAATCTCCGCCTACGCCCCCACTGACTGCAGTTCAGATGAAACGAAGGATGAGTTCTACCAAAAGCTGTCTAGTTTGGTGGAAAGGCTAAACGCTCAGACATAGTCGTTCTAGCTGGTGACTTTAACGCTCAAGTAGGGAAATTGTGTCAATCTGAGAAGGATGTCGGTGGCACCTATGGAGCTCCGTGCCAGCGAACCGACAACGGTGACCGTCTCCTACAGTTCTGCTCTGATAATCATTTGTTTCTTGTAAGCACTAACTTTAAACACAAGGAGAGACACTGTTTGACTTGGAGACCCCCTTCATCAAACCAACGCTGGACACAAATAGACCACATAGCAATAAGCTATCGTTGGCGTGGGTCGGTAGGAGATTGTCGCTCCTTCTGGAACACGTGCGTAGATACCGACCATGCACTGGTCCGCGCTCGGGTGTGCTTACGACTGAACGGACGTAGGAAACAGCTGGCGGTAAAACCATCACGTCCCCAGCTCGATCAGGAAACTAAATCCGTATTTGAGGAAGAACTAGCTAAACACATATCTGTGTTCGACAGCTGTGCTCACCCTGAAGAAGCTTGGAAAAATATCCAGGCAGCCATAGATACAGCTGTAAAAGCTGTGAATAAGGTAAACCCAAAGGTGAGTAAAAACCACTGGATCTCCACCGCCTCATCCGAACTGATAGATGCTAGAAGACTTATTCCGGCGAGCTCCGAATTCAATGAGGAGCGAAAGCTGCACAAGAGGAAACTTACGAAAAGTCTCCGCAAGGACCGTGAACAGTGGTGGGCGACAAAAGCCAAAGAGATGGAGAAAGCTTCGAGGATAGGCAACACCAGGCAACTCTTTAGACTCATCAGGGAAACGGGTGGGAGAAGACAAATCATCAGTGAGACAATCTCGGAAAAAAATGGCACTATAATTAGCTCCCAGGATAGACGACTGGATCGTTGGAAAGAGCATTATGAGGAGCAGTTTAATTTGCCCACAGCCACGCTCAACCTTCCGAGCATCCAACACCTCCCTGAATGGGATATAGACACAGGTCCTCCGTCACTAACTGAGGTTACTAAAGCTGTCACCAATCTGAAACTAGGCAAAGCAGCGGGACCTGATGGAATGACTCCAGAGGTATTTAAGTACGGTGGAGACAGCTTACTGTCCGGATTAACTGAGGTACTAGGCAGCGTCTGGGAATCAGAAGAAGTCCCATCGGGTTGGTGTAAGTCACTGATTATCCCCATATACAAGAAGGGAGACAAGTCTTCCTGTGATAATCACAGAGGGATTAGCTTGACTAATATAGTATCTAAAGTCTTAGGCTCAATAATCATGCGTAGACTGAGTGGTGCTCGGGAAGCACAAACACGAGAGAGCCAGGCAGGCTTTAGACCAGGAAGAGGGTGTATTGATCATATCTTCACCCTCCGACAGATTCTAGAACATAGGCATTCCTACCGGCGTCCAACAGTCATTATATTTCTTGACCTAAAGGCAGCATTCGACTCTGTCGATCGAGAAGTTCTCTGGAGATGCTTGGCTGTAAAGGGAATTCCGAGAAAATATATTGCACTGATTAAGGCACTCTACTCGTACTCATACAGCCAGGTGAGGGCTTACGGCGAGCTGTCATCTGAACTGATGACGACCAGTGGTGTCCGTCAAGGATGCCCATTATCTCCTTTTCTATTCAACTTCATCATAGATGTGTTAATGGACTTAACCCTAGGTGACTTCAGCGACTCAGGGATTGACTTGCTACCGGGGAATAATCTCGTTGACTTGGAATATGCAGACGATATAGTCCTTCTAGGCGAAGACGCTGACGAAATGCAGAGTCTTCTAAACACCTTGAGCCGCAATCTACGAATGTTTGGCATGCGATTCGCTCCCGCCAAATGCAAGATGATGTTACAGGACTGGACTACATCGACGCCTAGTTTAAAAATAGGAAGTGAAGTGGTAGAGCACGTTGACCGCTTCACTTATTTGGGAAGTACCATCAGCCCCAACGGGCTGATCTCTGACGAAATCTCAGCACGAATACAAGGGGCTCGTTTCGCATTTGTTAGTTTACGCCGACTCTGGCGTAGACGAGATGTTCGACTATCGACCAAAGGGCGGGTGTACTGCTCATCAGTCCGCTCCGTCCTCCTTTATGGTTGTGAGACCTGGCCACTGAGAGTGGAAGACATGAAAAGACTAGCTGTCTTTGATCATAGGTGCCTGCGTTCTATTTCCCGTGTAAAGTGGCATAATAAGGTGAGCAACATTGAGGTTAGGCGTAGAGTTCTAGGTAAACAGGGGAAATCAATCGACGAAGTCGTGAAGCTACAAAGACTGAGATGGTTAGGACATGTGTTACGTATGCCAAGTCATCGCCTCCCTCGACGAGCTATGTTAGCGGATATAGGGTCAGGCTGGAAAAAAGCTAGCGGCGGTCAAACAAAAACTTGGCATCAGTCAATGAAATCCACAACAGTTGGTCTAAGCCACGTAGGAAGGTGTAGACTTCCAGGCTGGGGTCCTCGGGACGGTAAAAATCTATGGTTGGAAACAATTGGTGACATGGCTCAAAATCGTTCTCAGTGGCGCAGATGCATCCACTCCTTGTGACTTATGATCTCCAATGAAACTGTTTTGTTCTTCTTTATTACTCCTTTGTCTCACACCTCTGCTCACTGTTTCTATTATGCTTTTCTTGTACTTTCTTCTCTTGCTTCGCGTGCTACACGGAATGTGGCGACTTGAACTTCCGCACATTTGTGCAGAGTTCTATGTCGAAAACAGACAGACAGTCTCCATTTAAAGTGTGAATTTTATCGCTGGGTGGCAACCATTAAATACATTTGATATATTTTTCAAACTACAAATAATAAAGGTGTCATCTACATACCTTTTATACGTTTGAAAGCTTGGGATTGTTGGCTTTAACTGACCATTTTATAGACTGGACAAAAAACAGTCTGCAAGGAGAAGACCCTAGGGGAAAACCCATTGCAATGCCATCCTTCTGCCTATAGATTGTTTTTTTGAAAGTAAACTGTACATCCAATGCACATCTCAAAAGTAGTTTCAAATTTTTTCTTTACCGATATATGACATTTAAGAGAACTATCTTCATTTTCAGTGGTTGCTCCTACTATTTTAGGATGATAAAGATTTTTAACTCAGGTGGAGGAATTTGATTTAGTTGTGTTCTCTGAGCTAGTTGATTTAACTGCGAAGCAGTATATTATAATTTTTCTGCCTTGGTGAACGATAGTGAAGGCGTTTAATTGGTCATACTATGCGGTTTTCTGGAGAAACTTTAGTTGCCATATCAGGCAACATCGGGACTATCCGGGATGAGTTTGTGGACTACAATGGTGTGTATCCGTAACATAAAAATTCGTTTTAATTAATTGTAATCATATTCATTCAGATATCCACTTCTGAATCACAATTTAACACAACCAGGTTCTATCATGAATTTCTGTACTTAAATTGCAGTCCAACTAGTATTTCATAAGCATACACTGGATTGGAAAATAACCTCGTTTATTATTATAATTATTATCATTATCGTCTAATTACTAACTTTAGTAATGGTCACGTGAAACAACTCGCTTGCACTACACGTTAGATAGTCGATAAGTTTAAAACTTATACTATTTCACTGTCTCTTACCTATTGTCGATCTATTTCCCGGAATGCGTTTATTCATATACTTCGACCAACACCCGTTGTAAATTTTTTGGAAGGAAACTATCTGAATATGTTCTTTGTTAACGCAGTCACGAGTGATCATGTTTTCTCAATGAAGTTATTCAATGCACGATCTGTTTTATTATGCTATGAGTCAAGAAGGTCATTATTGCAAAAAAGAAAGCAACACTAAACCTTACCGATCACTTAGTTTTGCTGATAATAGATTGGATAAACTATTCATTCAAATTCCTAGTCGAAGATCTGAGTCAGCAGTTTGTGTTAACGACCGCTCCAATTCTGCTTCACCTACTAGAAAACAGCCACACCCATATGCAATGCATGCAATGAGTTCGATTAATGGACAACGGCCACGACTGCCGCAGTGGCCACCACCTGATCCGCCTCCGCTGACTCCAGTTATTATGGGCTTTAGTCGTTATTTCTTTGGTGCAACACTTGGAGTAAATAACACATCACCAGTATGGACACTTCGTCCATGGGGACGTGGTAATCGCCTATCACGTCCTGTAAATCAGATTATTCGTGTTAACATTGGCATACCAGAACTTACTGATGATGCTCTTTTCAATCCAACAGCAGAGGAATCAGCCCGTATGGTTTGGGTCGATGCAAGTGATGCTGTAGAGGAGATCACAACTGGAGAAATCGAAGTTATGCCTACACCTCAATTAGCATCATTGACTGAAGTTGAGGATAGTCAGTTTGACGGCAGCGTAAGCTGTACTTCAGCCTTGCAAACACCCAGTACCCTTCCTAGTCATTCTGGAAGTTACCAGACGACTGTTCAGAGTTTGTCTGAAGGATCATCTCACAGCTGTATTTCAACCTCCCATCAATCACTGACATATCAAGCAACTGTAAATGATTCCGTCAATGAGGAAGTGATGTATGGATTAGAAGAAGAAGATAGCACTGAGTTTGTCTTAGTAATGGATTCTAATTTGGATTCTCACATCACATTACATATGAGTGATGAAATGCTTCTTGTAGGACAGTTGATTTTAAACAATTCTGATAGTGAAACTGAAATGACATAAGATTATCCAAAAATTTTCAGGATAATAAATCAATTTTTATAGATTTAATTTTGTTTTTCTCCCATTATCATCCCATTTAAGTTCATTTTATCTTTGTTTAACTTAACTACTGATTGATTGTTATTTGTGATCAGCATGATAAATGAACCAAGTGGTTACAGCTCCTAGTAATCTAACAGATTCACTTTTTTCATTTGCTTTGTAGAAGTTTGTTTAATTATCAGAAGCAGTCAGTTGCAATAAGATATTGTCATGCACGAGAAAGTTACTTCTTTGATTTGCTATGAATTTTGTAAAGTAAACATTCCCACAGATAAAATACAGACCTTAGCGTCAGTAACGGTTGTCAGTTGCAGGCTATGGATACGATGGGATTCGGGAGTTTGAAGCACCGTCTGTAGGACCGCCACTCAGTGTTTCACACCGAATGGTGTTTACAATCTTCACCTCATCGATGGCTGAAGCTAATTTTTAAGGTTTACAGTTTTATATGCCTTAATTTCACAACTATCGTATTATTATTGTTACCTTGACAGAGTTTAGCAGTTACGTTATGTAAAGGTGTTTTTCGGCTTTTGATAACTTGAAGTGTTGAGATCAAACTAATATTGCAGAATAAGATTCTGAATTTAGTGATCCAGGCGTAAATTATTGGCTCATTTATGTTATGCATTCATTCGATTTCTAAATCACACTGTATTTTACGGATCAGCAAACATCCTACTTAACACGCTTATTTCTTTCATCATCTCGAAATTAGCCCAGCGGTGTACCAGTCTCAGCCTGATGCTAATATCCGCAATTTTCAAGTTATGGTTTGCAGTTTTGTGATGATTACGTTTGAATTATTACAATCATTTGTAATGCGATTCACTGGCAATGAAGTTACCGGGTCGCCGTTCATGGTTGATTGTGTAGACTGGGAAGTACGTTGTATTTTAATAATATAAATGGAGCCACCTTTAAAATAAGTATTTTAGCGACTGAGTAGAGACAAGGCAGTTAAGAATGACGATTCTCAGTTTCTATGTGTAATGATTATAAAACATAGTAGATGCTTAAATAGGAATTTTGTAAAAATTTTAGCGGCTAAATCTACGGCACGAATGAGAAACAAGTAGGATAAGCTTATTTATTTATGTATCTTGTGGTAGACAATTTGGTAACAAAATACTGGAATTATGTGCTCAAATAGCTGTGTCACAAAATGAGGGAAGGGACTAATAGGAAGTATCCAGCTTTGGCGTTCGATTAGGCTGCTTATCTAACACTGCAGTATATCTGATGTTTTCACTTCTTTATGTAGCAGAGATTTTTACTTTTAGCAAACTATAAAACAAATTGTGTTAAAATAAACTCAACGCCGGTTATTATGCTAATATTTTGACTTAAAACTGATTTTCATCTGGATGTTATTAAGTTAGGAATGCCAGTTGCATAAATTCCTAATATCATGAACTATTTACCACCTCATTATTATTATTATATCCTTTAGTTCCTAGAGGAACATAGGGCTTCAGCTGCGCACCTCCATTGCCTTCTGTTTTCTGCCAGCTTTTTCACTCCGCTCCACGTCTGCCCACACGCTTTCATCTCCTCTTCACATGACCTCCTCCAAGTCACCCTCACGCTGACGACCAACTCGCCACCCACTTCCCTTTCGGGTTCCACTCGAGCAATGGCTTGTCCAGTGATGTCACTTGATGGTTTGTTTCCTCAGAGTATGACTAATCCAATCCATCTCCATTTCTTCCTGCCTATTTGTTTCACAATCGGTTCCTGCTGTGTTGGTTCGCTCATTGCCAGAGATCCCTGTTGGTGATGTTTTCTGGCCGGCCATCTGATTTTGAGTAGTATTGAGAGAAGACAACTGTTGATGAAGGTTTGAAGTTTGTTTGAGATGCTCTTTATGACGCGCAGTGCAAGTCTCTGATCCGTATAGTAGTACTGACTGACTTCACACTGGAGGTGAAAATCCGGATCTTATTGTTGATTCTGAGTGCTGTTGACCTCCACACAGACTTAAGGGAAATGAAAGCCTCTCTTGCTTTTCAGGCTTTCATTACCACCTAATAGAAAGATGTTTTCTTGTTAAAAGAAAAAGTGAGGTGAAGTTCAATGTAACTTCAGTCTTGATAAAATTGAACTGATTTTTATTTTCTTTGGACAACTAGTCCCTATGAAATCTATTTGACATCGATCTTTCAATAGGTAGGTGTCTGTCTCTCTGTTTTCGACATAGATCTTTGCACAAAATAGGTAGGTGGATGAGTTGACGATCTGTCGATCGAAAGGCATGCCACCTACTGGGATTTCAGATAGTGGGTTACTTTAATGCAGGTGATATTTTCAGCTCATCTGTCATTAAGGTGCTCCGAAAACATCTAAAACCATAGTGATAAAGAAATAAATAAGTGCGTTTTATTATCAGTGAAAATGTATTGTTCATTATACAATATGAAGAATTTTATTCATGAGAACATTGGTAGATTTACTCTATTTCACTAAAGATTGTTCTGTCTTCCTGAACATTTGCAAGCTATTTTATTCCTCATTTTCCATGTCACTGAATGCATGAGAATGATGACTTAGGTGTAAAAATATGAATTCCTTGCAAAATTTGAAACAGCAATCCCAGGCTCTTTGGTCCTGAGCTTTACCGACTCGACCGTTAGATCCAACTGCTCAGGCTATCTGAATTTCATCCCAGTTATGTAGGGTTGTTTTAATCTGTTTTTGGGTGTTATGTGAATGATATTCGGATTATGTGTCCTGGATTAATTGCAATATAGTTTTCGTCACGAACCTGTACCATTTAGTGAATCACTAGAAATGGAGTAGCAGTGGACGGCTGTCTCCTTCTGATTCGGGATTCTTCACCAGTGTGGGTACGGATTACTGAATTCCGACTCAGGGTCTGAAATGAATAGTCAGCGAGTTGGCCTAGTAACGTGGGAGTTCAAATCATGAATGAACCCTGTTGAAGAGTTATAGACCAGGACTAAACAACTGTCCAGTGCCCCTTGGTTCTCAATGATTCCCTGCTTAATTCCCGGTTTTGATGACATCTGCACTGGATTTACATGAGTGGACAGTAATTAGTTTTCCGTTATTATTTTTCTGCCAGTTAACTGATAATAGTCAGTCTACCAAAACGCTGACTGTATAGTCAACAAAGATACCACTGAAATCTAATAAAGCCAACGTGAGCTTGTAAAAGGCTGTACTACTTATGGATAAATAGTTACTTTTATTAGCTTATACTGACAAGGTTGACACTACATATTTTATCAAAAACTATAACCCTTGAACTGTGTGGGTTCATACGAAATCTCACTCAGGTGGCTTTAGATATTTTGGTAATTTTCATTTGTAATTTGTACTTCACATTTTAAAATTGGAATTCTCTAAGAAATCTATAGTTGAAGGATGTGTATACTGAAATAGTCTGACAGTAAAACTTCGTAGTAGAAAAAACTGATTCAGATATTTAAATCATAACATGAAACTGTCGGTTAAAAACATAACGGTCAAGCCACTGAGCCTGAATTCAATTAACAAAACTCTTTGATGTTTTGGCGGGATGGTTTTCCATTATTCTGCAGTTAGAGTTCACAAGTCCGTTTATTAGCAATCTCTGGATAAGACGTGGAGTTGTTATATAAGGTCATTTCCGGAGTCCTTGAAACGTGTTGTACATATCGCTTACGTTGAGAAAAGTTAGAATTAATTAGGTGAGCGATAGCAGCAACTAGAACCGTCAAGGTGTTTAAAGCAAGACATTGGAAACTCAGTCTTTACAATCTTTAACATATTCAGTAGTCTTTATTTTGTTATTCGCTCTCTAGTCACCTTTGGCCATCGCAGTGCCAGTCTATCTCTGTTCTCTTCATTTTCCGTGTTTTTTTTGTAGATATGTTACCATTAGAAGTGATTCACGAAGTTAGCCAGTTCTGTTTGTGGATAAAAAGCATATTGAAATTGTTGTGACATTCTAATGTTTATTTTTTGTATTGGAACTGTGATTCATTAGTTTCTTAATTCGATTTTCAAACAGACGTTCCACTGTCGAGGGTTGTGCAGTTCGTTAGTTTCTCTAACCTTCAACAAATGGTTGTGCTGTATTTTTTTTAAGTGTATAAGAATGCACACGGTTATTGAATTGAATTATTACTCGTCTTATTTGTCAGTTTTCTGTCTAAGGCGAAAGTAGTTTACCGAATCATTCTTTTAAACACTTAAATTGCGAAATTTTTATTTCCTATTCATCTTGTCAGACATAACTTGGTCGAAGAACTTCGTTTACTATGGAAAAGGTATTCAGATCACACATTCAGCGGTTGTCTGGATGCTAGACATGTATCGGAGAAGATCGTTTTCTTTTAAATAAATAAGAGAAGATCAACAGTTTATTCTAATTTTTCATTATTTTGTAATTATATAAATATAGTTTCTTTTAAAATATCACTTAAATACCATTGGAGGTCTATTAATGAACATATTCTGTTCTGGTTTCCTCTTAACTTTCTGTAGTGATGCGAATGTGTGCCTTAGGAAATGATTTTCTTGACGTATTGTTTTCCTTGTACAGGTAGGTGCCCTACGTATATCCTTGTGTTTATCATCAGATTTTAGTTTGCCATCACCAAGTGAAGTTTGCCTAGTCACTACAGGAGTTTGTTTAGATAATTTTCCACTCTTATTTCTTATGCTACTACTTCTACTACAAGTTACATTTACACACTGATCATCTCTTATTTGAGGTCTGCTTGAATGATCATTTGACAGAAGAATATTTTTGCCATGTAAAACTTCCATAAAATGTTTTCCAGTCAAAAATCTACGCTGTTTAGCCTTTTGTTTAGCTACACCAGATGGTTCAATATCTTCAATGTCTTTTATATCATCATGAATTGACTCGCGTAATGATGACGATGCCTGTGTATAATTTTCAAACGATACACTCTTTGGTTTTGAATAGCTTCTTCTCCGATTCAAAGTATCCATCTCACCAAATTCCTCTCGAACTTGTGGAGAATACGATAATTTATCATACCCATCGCTTTTTTCAAGAGATTCATTTAAAGTGAATCTGTTGCTGTGCTGTTTTTCACATTCCTTTGATAATCTTCGGCCAGAACGTATCGGCGAAGCATTAACTAGTGATAATTGACTACTTTTTGAAGACAAAATATTTTCATGTTGTTTGTGTACTTGGTGTTGTGTATGCCAGTCTGAGATTCCTTTTCTTTTGATATCAAATTTATGTCGTCTGCATGAACAGTAACTGTGGGCTGAATTTGCTAGTGCAGAAGTTGGATATTTTCTTGCTGTCATTTCTGATAGATCAGATGTACTGACATCTTCGTCATTTAGTTGCATGTGCTTATTAAAATGATGTAGATTTGATGGGTTCTGTCTATAACCCGATTTATAATTTCTCTTCTGATCTTTCCATGCTGGTATTTTGGATCTTTTAGATAAATACCTACTGGAGGGGATAGAATTTTCAAAACATTTTCTCATCCCAGTCATTTTATTATCATCTTGCTCACAGTCATTCACATGGTGCATGACACATAGTAATCTATGTCCACATTCATTTGATATCAAATATTGTCGTGAATTCGTTCCATTCAATTCATTTGTAAACTGATTTTCAACTGGTGTATTAGGCAAGATAGTTTGTAATCTGTTGGCTACCTCCCCAGAGTATTGTGAACAACGGGATTCTCGTAACTGATTAATAGCCTCAGATTGTAAGCTTTGGTTAGTAGGGAGCTTACGAGCTTTTATTAAACTTTCATTCCAGATGTTAAAACTAATATTATGATTCAGTGGTTCAGTGTTATCAGATAAAGATTCCATTAGTAAATCAGTTTGAACACATTTTTGTACTGAATTTGGACTTTTCACATGCGATGACATTTCTGATATACATCTGTTTGTACAGCCACACAGAGAATCGTAGTGATCGTATGGTACACAGTATACTAAGGGATGTGGTGCAACACAGTGAATTACGGGATGTAATGCTGGCTGCATACCATCTGGAGAGAAATTCTGAGGACAACTGTATACACATTTGTGTATACTTGGGGAATACTCCGTCTGTAAACAGACATCTGAAGTGGTTTGTTGAGTAACCTGTTTTGGATATTGTACTCCTGAAGTGTGGAGATTTCCTAGTGGCTGATTACTGACAAAATCTTTCACTGAATCACTAGTATCATTTACATCTACTGAAGTAATATTGTTATTGTCAAATGTATGTCTTGTATTTATTAACGTACATGGAGAGACTGATGAAACTGTTTCTGTTTTATCTTGCGGATGTGATTCTACTAGTTTCCGGGTGTACTTTTTGCCCTGTTCATTTTGGCAGTCATCAGCCATCTTTTCGTCCACTAATGAATCAACTCTATGCATTGGATAATGTAACTGATACCATAAACTAGATGGTGTTGTTGTTGTCGCCATTGTTTCTGTCATTGATAAAAATGACAACTCGTCATCTGCTTCATTTTTACAGTTTCTACTAGTTGTCTGCATACAACTTATTCCTGTTTTGTCTTGAGATAAAAACCCTTTACTATTCGGTGATGGTGTTTTGATGATTTTGTGGAACCTATCATTTTCATGACATGAACATGTTGAACTGAGATAAACATTTTTTTCAGATATTTGTATTGTCTCTGAGGATTTTATTATCTGGTCGTGTTTTTGCTTTTGCGATTGTTCAACAATTGGTGCCTCAACAGCACTGTTATCATTTACAGTAGACTTACTATTTGTTTTAATTAGGTGTTTCTCATTGTCTAATTTCGAAGTCAAAGTTAATTGTTTCTCGTATGTTGTCTTGCTATTTTCAAATTTAGTGGTATATAATTTCTCCGTAGGTGATATTTCATTCTGTTTATCCGACTGGCTTTTCAGTGTTTGTTGTTTACTTGTACTTCCACTAAGATTCTGTTCTAGATTGAATGACTGTTTACATGAATTAATTGCGGAAAGACAAGATGGTTGAGATAAGCTACTTAATGGTGATGATGTACATTCCTTAGTAGGCACTGTATCTAACAAGTCGTCCTGTGAATTTTCTTTAGACTGTTTGCAGCTTGTAAAATTTCTGAAATTTCCATTAGTACCAACGCCGTCTGTAACCAACTGCTGATCACTTGAGCATTCTGCGTTTGGTTTTACTTCATTTTTATTATTTGGCCATTTGCTCTTGTGTGGAACATTGTTCGCAATACTGTTTCTTGATTGCAGCTGTGATAAGTCACTGCTTTTATCATCGTAATCATCACCATCACCCTGAAATCGTCTAGTATTAGTCAACGGTCTCTCAGAAGTTTTCTCTACTGCCTCATAATTTTCATTTTTGGCTAAACTTGTTGTTTTGTAATAATTTGAATAGATTCTACCTAGACTGTGAATCAAACTACTATAATTCTTCAGTTTGTGTGGGTAATGTTTGTTCAAACCTTTGGAGTGAATCTTTCTATTCAATGATAGAGAAGATGCGCACTCACTACGTGTTCGATAACGGCTAAAACACCTTGCACTGGGACGTTTACTCTTTGATTTATTTTCTGTCATTAAATCTTCCTGACGACATACTGGTTCAAAAGTTGTTGAGCCTTGAATTGTAGCACAACTTCTGCTTATCGGTGCCGATTTATCGTTTGTATTTTTCCATTCGCCTACATTAATTAGCGTTAGCTTGTGGGGATGCGTTGTTAGAAACTTCGATAACGACTGCATGCTACTACCTGTACTTCCATAAATAATACTTCCAGAACCTTCAGCTTTTGTTGTTATCACAGTATTACTAGAAGATTCACTTAGGGAACATAAACTATTTGTTACATCAAACAGTTTACCACGTGGCAAAGATTTGTCACAGTATGTTCCAGGTGTTAAAAAAGTTAAGCTGCGACTTTTAATTTTATGGAATTTTCTCATTTTAATTATTTGATCAGAATGCGCTGAATGATTCACGCCGTCATATTTACTTTCATCTTTTTTCTCAGTTATTGTGTTTAAGTCTGTGTCAGAGGATAAGGAATGTAACTCTTTCATTTGATCTTCTTGATTTCTGTGCTGAATAGTCTCTTTTACAGTTTCATTATGTTTTTCGTCCAAATTTAACAGTTTTTCATTAATATTCTGTAGCTCCTTAAAATGATTACATTTTCGATACAATTTTTCAGAATCTTCTTTAACTAGAGACTTTTTATGAGATATTTGTTCGTCTGAGTTTCTAGGCTTCATTAAATCAGATGGTGCATTACACGTGGAGGGATGCAGTGAAAATCTTGTACGTTTAACTGTTTTATCCTTGGAAGGAGATAAACTGTTTGATGGTTTGTTGAGCGCAGAACGACATTTTATTATCGGCGAATTTTCAAAATGTACAGAGTGATTGGATAAATTTATAGAGGGGTAAAACGTTTTACTGACCGACTCAGACATTAAACTTTTGTTCACATTTTTCATTTCATCGTTTATCTGACTGTCACAGTTTTGAACTTCTAAAACTCTCTTTAAATTAATTTTCGACGATGAAAAACAGTTTCTTTTTTTCAAGATGAAATGCTTATCTACATTTTGCGTAGAAGAATCATATAAGCAGTTTGTACTCAATGTTCTCCTACTGTGTCTGTTCTCATCACCATATTCATCTAATTTTCTGTTTCTCGTACATATTGATTCATTAGAGTTCTTTCTATGGAATGCACCGCGTAGGAAAGATACAAATTTACTACCTACATTGTGCATGTTTGTTTGATGATTACCTGGAGACAGATTGACCGGAGCCGTAGTAGCAGTGGTAGTGACCTGTGGTGGAAACGTCAAATATTTCAGTTTGTTTAAATTTTGACATGATTTCGATAAATCTTCTCTATCTGCCTGAGCAAAATCAATTTTTAATTGAGCACACATATTACGATAATGCTTTATCCATGGGGATTTTTCTAACTCACCTGTTATGGGATGATCACATGTTATGTTATGTGAAAAAATGGATGTAGTCTGTGATTTTGATATTTTTTCCTTTGGAGTTGTTTCTGTTGGAAATGAATAAAACGGTAATGAGTGTGAAAGTGCTGATGCTGGAGGCTGTGACTTTTGTTTATTCATTTTCAGTCTTATATGCAACCAACTCTACTTTAGCGAGTTGTATTTGTATTTCATTCACATCACAGTTATAAACTATGTCCACCTCGTAAACCAAAATTATTTTATTTCCACATCTATTTACGCAACATAAAGATGAATATTTAAAAAGGAATCCCATTCAGAGTTTCGCAATTTAAAGCTGCATCATTTTATGCAATGTCTACATTATTTGCAATATGACAGTGAAAGAACTGCTTTTCGTGTTATAACGTTTGAGGCTGATCATGTGACTTACGCGATTATAGATTAGACTGATAGATCGATAAAGCTTATCAGTTATTCATAAAAATACACAGAAAATATATCACTAACAAGGAAGATGAAACTTTATTACGAAGAATAAAGTACCTAAAGAAATTGTGATATATTCTACGATTGAATTCATCACAGCACTCAAAAAAGGTAATTAATGGAATATAATTTGAGAAGTTTTGAAGAACGGCGAGCTTTTCGACTGCTGCGCTACATTTCCCTTATTTATAAAAACTCTCGTTTCTGTAAAATTTCATGCCAAGAGTTTGTGGAAACTATCACAATTATTTACCTTTCGAACACTAAATCCAAGGATACAATCTTATTGACAGATAATACATATGACTAACTATTTGGATTTGTAGAATTTTTAAACATAAACACATCTATAATTGTATATATTGTTGGATTTATATGTTCAAGTTGCTCCAAGTCAGTGAGTTTATGGTTGAGATATCATTTTAGTTAACTGTGCTGAACTATATTGCATGTTGTCCTATTGTATAGTTGTCGTCGCTTTTTGCCCTTTTTTCTGTGAACTGTTTTCCTTTTGTTGATGTTGTTCTCATTGTTTTGTCCGTTATTTTCTGATTTTGAGGGGAGCAACCCAAAAAGTTGCTTCTCTCTAAACTTTATCTTAATGTAATCATTCCTTTCTCAGGCGTGAGGCTAGCAACCCCACCCTGTAAACAAAATTGCTACAGAAACTTCAGTACAATGAACCTCTTTGCACCAAAAGAAAAAGTCTGTGTGGGAACATGGAACGTCCGAACTATGTACGAGACTGGCAAAGCTGCCCAGATCGCCAACGAGATGAAAAGATACGGAATACAAGTGCTGGGAATATGTGAAAGCAGATGGAATGGGAGTGGACTCACCAAATTGTCAACGGGTGAGTCAGTGATCTACTCCGGTCACCCAGAAGATAACCACACGCACACCGAGGGCGTGGCTATCATGATGTCACCAACGGCAACGAAAGCCCTGATACAATGGGAGGCGATTTCGTCCAGGATAATGACCGCCAGATTCAACTCCAAAGGAAGGAAAGTGTCAATCATACAATGTTATGCACCCACAAACAACGCAGACCTCGAAAAGAAAGAAGAATTCTACAGGCAACAATGGACAATACTCCAGCTGGCGACATGAAAATACTAATGGGAGACATGAACGCCAAACTGGGACCAGACAACACAGGAAGGGAACTCATCATGGGTAGAGAAGCTCTAGGAGAAATGAATGAAAACGGAGAACTCTTCGCCGACTTCTGCGCCTTCAACGAACTAGTGATTGGTGGCAGTGTATACAAGCACAAAGATATCCACAAGGCTACATGGGTGTCACCAGACGGGCAAACCAAAAACCAAATCGACTTCATCTCAATCTCAAGGAAGTGGAGGCGCAGCCTACTGGACACAAAAGCAAGAAGAGGAGCAGACGTTGGCTCAGACCACTATCTCGTACAAGGGACAATCCAAATCAAATTAAAAGCTTTCAGGGAATCAGGAGCTGCAGATAGACCACAAGCCAAGTTCAACACTCAAAAGCTGAAGGACCAGGCTACAAAGGACATCTTCATTGCAAGCATAAAGGACAAAGCCGAGACACAAATCAACACCAGCGAAAAGGTCAGCGTCGAAAAGCACTGGAACAACTTGAAAACGGTGTGGAGCCAAACCTGCATAGAAATTCTAGGCAGAAAAAAGAGACAGGACAAACAGTGGCTCACTACGGACACTTGGAAACTAATAGAAGAGAGAAGGACAGTGAAGCAAAAGATTATCCAGTGCACTGACGAGCAACAAAAACAGGAGCTGAATGCAAGCTACAATACACTGAACAAAAGAGTGAAGAAGAGTGCCAGGGAAGACAAAAGAAAATATTATGAAACCATGGCAAACGAAGCAGAACAAGCTGCAGGCAAAGGAGACCTCGCCACACTCTACCAAACAACTAGGCACCTATCGGGCAAACGTTCGACACAGATTAAGCCAATAAAGGACGACAATGGAAAGTCAATCACCAAAGAGGTGGAACAGAGAAAGCACTGGGCTGAACACTTCAAAAGACTTCTAAATCGTCCGCCACCTACAACACGCCCAACAATACCAACAACGGAAGCAGAACTACCAGTGAACATCGACCCCCCGACGAAATCAGAAGTCCTGAATGCAATCAAGATGCTAAAAGCTGGGAAAGCAGCAGGACCAGATGGAATCCCAGCAGAAGCTTTGAAAATGGACCCAGAGACAACAGCGGACTTGATGACACCACTACTGGAGAAGGTGTGGAAAGAGGGCAAAGTACCCGAGGATTGGAAGAACGGATACTTATTCAAACTTCCAAAGAAAGGAGACTTAAGTCAATGTAAAAACTGGCGTGGAATTATGCTCCTGTCCATTCCAAGCAAGATACTAAGTCGCATCATCCTGGAGAGAATCAAACAAGCCCTAGATGAAAAACTTCGACCGGAACAGGCTGGATTCAGGAGAAACAAATCATGTATTGATCAAATCGCCACTCTACGGATCATCATTGAACAAAGCTTGGAATGGCAGTCACCTCTCTCACTCAACTTCATCGACTTTGAAAAGGCCTTCGACAGCGTCGATCGAGAGGTGATTTGGCAACTACTTCGCTACTACGGGGTCCCATCGACAATTATACATCTCATTCAACAGTTATACGACAATGCTGCATGCCAAGTAATCCACAACGGGAAACTTACGGAAGCCTTCGAAGTGAGGACGGGAGTGAGGCAAGGCTGTCTACTATCACCAATGATCTTCCTGATTGCAGTAGATTGGATAATGCGACAGACAACGGCAACCAACGAGGGAACAGGCATAAAATGGACTCACACAAAAGACTTGGAGGATCTGGACTTCGCCGATGATATATGTCTGATTTCCCACAAACTGGAAGATATGCAAGTGAAAAGCAACAAGTTGGCAGAAGAAGCATCAAAGATAGGACTTCAAGTGAACATAGATAAAACAGAGGTGATGAAGATTCCTGGCCAACATCAACAGAAACAACAACAACAGACAACAATCAGCATAAATGGGAGGAACCTGAAAGAAACAACCTCCTTCACCTACCTGGGAAGCATCGTTTCAACTACAGGCAAACGGAACTGACGAGGATATCAAAGCCAGAATCAGAAAAGCAAGGCAAGCTTTCATTACTCTCAAATCTGTGTGGAAGTCAACAGCACTCAGCATCAAAAATAAGATCCGGATTTTCAACTCCAATGTGAAGTCAGTGCTACTATACGGATCAGAGACTTGCACTGCGCGTCATAAAGAGCATCTCAAACAAACTTCAAACCTTCATCAACAGCTGTCTTCGCTCAATACTACTCAAGATCAGATGGCCAGAAAAGATCAGCAACAGGGATCTCTGGCAATGAGCGAACCAACAGCAGGAACCGATTGTGAAACAAATAGGCAGGAAGAAATGGAGATGGATTGGATTGGCCATACTCTGAGGAAACAAACCATCAAGTGACATCACTAGACAAGCCATTGCTCGAGTGGAACCCGAAAGGGAAGCGGGTGGCGAGTTGGTCGTCAGTGCAAGGGTGACTTGGAGGAGGTCATGTGAAGAGGAGATGAAAGCATGTGGGCAGACTTGGAGCGGGGTGAAAAAGTTGGCAGAAAACAGAAGGCAATGGAGGTGCGCAGCTGAAGCCCTATGTTCCTCTAGGAACTAAAGGATAAAATAATAATAATAATTTGAGAAGTTTTTAGCAGCTTCAACCTGTGCAGCAAAGGTTACAAATCAGAGAAACAATAAAAACAAAAACAAACGTATTCACCATCAAACAAAGTGGAAAATATTAGAAAAATTATCACTCAATCTCTTCAAATAATTGCGAAAATGTGCGTCAGCAAGAAATTAATCAACGATAAACGAAGAAGTAGAATTGCAGGGTGGAGAGAAATACCAGCAGCAATAACTACTAATGAATAATATTGAAATGTGAAGGAAAAATCGAACTCGTGATGGCTACGATTATCTATCACGTGGATGGCCACTGTTTCGCATTTTTAATTTAGCCGTCTCCCTTATTTCGTTTGCATCTTCTGTGTTATTCCTGCCTTGAACATTCTCAGTAGGTGTATATAAAATAATCGGTCCTATTGTCGGAGTGGCCTTCTAACTGGTGAGGGTGACCAGAAATGTGTATTCCTTCACGGAGGACAAGTTGTTAATGATGATTTCAAACAACTTCTAGCACGTTGTGTTGGTCTATCAGATTTCACTGAACTTATATAGCGAATAGTTCGACATTTTAATAGCTTAAAATAAACCACATTACGCTTTATTGCTCTAGATAGTCTTAGATGTAGAACTTTACTAGCCACGTCTTCATTGAATTGCAGCCTCAAAAACAACTTTTTCTTTTTATCTGTGGTCGGTTTCCCTTTCCTACACAGAGTACACAAATGTCTCCTAACAAATCCACCTAAACTAGGGCATTTGGGTAGTATCTCGGTTCATTTCCTAAATGTCGATGTAGTCTCAGACAGCTGAAATAAGTCATGGACGCAAACTTGATGGTTTGTTAGAAGAAAATATTTTATAAAATTTCCTCTGATATTTAGTTGTTTAATGGGCAATCAGTTTGGATTTCTTAAAATATCTTCATTATTTACTGCGATCCAACTACATTCAGATGATGAATATGTGACATAACGCTG